AGGAGTGCACTGAATGCCAGGAGATATGATATCCAATATGAAAAAGACTGGAACTCCCCAGATGGAAAACACACCAATCCTTAGCTTCATTTCCTTTTTTATAAAATCCTTGTGGTGCTCCTCCCTATGTTAAACCTTCCACACCCAGAATTATGCTGAGTCAATTTACATGGATGTTATTTACACAAACTGACAATAAGCATCACATTGCACTCTGTCCACTTAATAAGCAGGCACATTTCTTTAAACCATAGCATTCCAGTATAAAACCAAGTTCATGGTTACACCTGACATGTTGTAACCACCCTGTGAACAAGTGAAGATTCACTAATTCCCTCTCAAGCATTAACTTTTCATATCTTAAATATGATAATGTAGTTAAAATCCTCATTTCTTTAGCATGATTCTGAGACTTGAGCTTACATTGACATTTCTGAAATTGCTTTGATCTGCCTTCTCTAACCCCCAGTATCTGGCTGAAAGAGGGTAGATCCAAGGTTAATGACAAAGCACAAGGGCAGACACAAGTACAAAAGGGAGGTGCTGATATTACTGTCTCATTGCTATGGATGAGACATAGGCACATGTATTGACATTGTTTTGCAATACACACGCAGACCTCTTTAGAGAAACTGGGCTTAGGAGCTGTTGGATAATCACCCTACAAAGCCAAGTCTGGCTAACCCTGTAACTTCTCCACTTCTGCAAAAGGGAACACATCATTCCCAGAACCAGAAAGTAACTACTTTAAATGTATAGCTGGTCTGGAAAAAATGGAGGAGAATGGGCTCCATTTTGGCAAACAGATGAGATGCTTTTCAAACTTGTCAGCTTTCAGTTTCTCAGATCCAGGTTTAATACAAGCTAAAATATTAACTTGGACTATAGATGAGGATAGGTACATGGTGAGTATAATTGATAATGTGGACTCTGAGAAGGATGGTTTAGATGGAAATGAAAAATCCTGTGGTTGGAGCCTTATGACTTGTGTCTAGAACTCAGTTTTGCATTCTCCAGTGTAGACAGTTGTTTCTGAGAGAAATTATGTGGGCAAGGACCAGGCTAGGATAAATACAGCAGGTCTCTTGAGCTGTATTTGCCTGAAACAGGACAGAAATAGCAGTTTGTGTACTAGATAATATCAAGTATTTTTGAGGCAACTCATGAATTCCTATCTTGCATTGAATTTGATATCCTTTAATAGGGCAGGAAGTTTCTCATGGCTGCTATTCACAATCTAAATCATGTAACAGCTTATGGGAAAGGAGATATGTGTATGCATGTAGAATCTGTGCCCCCATAAAATCAGTGTGATACACATCAGCCAATACCAGGGCAAAATAGGATGGGACTGTGAACTGTAAGGTGACAGTTGGCTCAATTTCTAAAGAAAAAGGCTATCCCCTTCTAGCTCCATTTCCCCCCTCCTAGTTGATAACAATCTAGACATAACTGAATCACAAAGACTTAATGAAACATGCAGTGAATAGCATTCTGAGTTAGCAGATGCTCTGCCAAGATGGAGGAATGGGAGATACGAAGGATGCTCTGGATGGAAGATGAAAAGTTTGCATGGAGAAAAGGACAGCAATGGGCTCTGCTTTGTCAGCCTGACTTCCCTTCATGTCATGGAGTCAGCAAGACATGAACTGGCCAGTGTCCTACAGGAAGAAAAATATCTCCATAGGAGTAAAGACAAAGTAGTCCTACCACAACAACTGACACTTACAGGATCCAACAGGACTAGAAAGTGAAGCAGTAAGCCACAGTGTGACAGAAAATATCTGACAATCATGTATCTGATAAAGGATTTATGTTTTGGATATATAAAGGACTCACAATTAAAAAGCAGAAAAGATAACCCAAAGCTGAGCATGGTGGCATACACCTGGAATCCCTCCAAAGGCTGAGGCCAGATGTTTTCAGGAGTTCAAGGAAAGCCTGAGCTACACAGTAAGACCCTGTCTCAAAAAAAAGGAAAAGGAAAAAGGTAACTCAAACTGAAAATGCAGGATGAACTTAAGTATACATTTGTCCAATGAAGATACACAAATGTCAATTGGCTTGTGAAAACACATATGCCCAACACCACACCCTTACTCACCAATAGGGAAGTTGCATTATAAAAGTAAAATGCAAATGCAAGGGAAAGTCACAATCAGATTTCACTTCATTTGCATGGAACCTTTCAACCAAAAAGAATAAAAACTCTTGGCAAGGATACAGAGATGCTGTAACTCTCATACAATGCTGGAAGAAGGTGAAATGGTGCAATAAGTTTGGAAAATGGACCGGCACTGCTAGTTTCTCCAAAGGTTAAGCACAGAGAGTTACCACATGACTCCACACAGAAGCCAAGAGAAATGAAAGCAGGCACACACAAAATGCTGTACATGTATTTGCACAGCAGTATGAATAACTGTTGAAATGGAAACTACTGCAAGTCCATCAACTGCTTGATGAATTAAAAATACACACAAGAGGACATTACTTAGAAGAGGAAATAAAGTACAGAACTACAACATGAATGAATCTTGAGAACCTGCTAAGTGAAAGAAGGCAGTCCCAAAAGAAGACAGGACACATATTGAGTATTTTGATACAAAATGTCCAGAAGAACACAATCTACAAAGTATATCACTGGTTCTTTAACAGTGAGCCAGGAAAGAGGTAGGCAATGGTTGAAAGGTCTGAATTTTCTTTAGAATGAAAGAATTTCCTGAAATTGGGGTGATGACTCTGAATATACTGAATGTAACCAAATTGCACATTTTAAATGACTGAATTTCAACCTACGTAAACAGTATTTTAATAAAGATGCAAGCAACATCCCAAAATTCATTTCATACACGTGATTTGAGGTTATGTGATGGTCTATATGTTGGCTTTGTATCATTAGCCAGGGCTTAAAACAACAAGATACCCTTTGAATTGAAAAGGAGTGATTTTATCAAATAAAAGTAAAAAATATCCTTCCCCTCGCTGACTAAAATACAATGATGTATAGTTCCCCAAACTAAGTAGTTATTGTTCCCAAAACTACTAAGAAATTAGCTTGTAGATTAGCCTGGTATTTGGAATATTCAAGTGCACTGGAATTTGTATCTCCATGGAAACAAAAGTCTCCACTTCTGTGCTCATCTAACTTTGTTTCTTTTATTTTAACAAGTTTCTTACATCTGCAAGAATGTACAGAGTGAAATTTGAAGTTTTACCTCTTGAAACAGATATTATATTCTAACATGAAAACAATTCTTTCATTTGTTTCAACCTAACAGTATTTGAAAGCATTGACAGAAATATAATCTTAGATAAATAATATGCAGTAAAAGTTTATGCTGTATATGTGACAGTAAAGAGCTAATACTGTAACCATGCACAAGATTCATATAATTACTATCCTCTTTGGTGTGTTAACATAATACACTAACTTATTCATCTTAGCTAAAGCCCAGAGATCAGAAACCAAAATGAAGAAAAATATACTTACATGTATTTGAATGTTAAAGATTTTAAAAACATAATTAGGTATCTGTTAACCATGGTGAACAAGAAAAGAAAGAGCACACAAAACTCTGAAGGTGGGCTGGAGGTGCAGCTCAATGGTAGAGTATGTGTCCAGCATGTGCAAATATATAGGTTCAGTCTCAAACAAAGAACAAAAGTAAAGCAAAGCAAAGAGAAGAAAAGAAAATATTGAGATTATTGGAAACAGAAAAAGACAAGAAACATCATCTTTGAAATCTGAGTTGAAGAGGAAAAAAAGCAGTTTAGGAGAAAGGAAATCAACAGAGGAATAATAGGTAGTCTGAAAGTGTGTTTTAGGAACAAATTTCAGTCTTTGGTACTACCATGCTGACAAAATGCAGGAGGTACAAAATTGGAAAGACAAACAGTTAAGGAGATGCAAATATTGGCTTGAATCATAACAACCTCAAGCTCTCCATTAACCAATGGTAACCAGCCATCATGGGGGCTTCAAGACACTGGAAAACACTTTTCATTTTTAAACCATTTTATTCTTTTTCCTTGTAGAATCATTTGCATCCGCAAGGCATACATATTTTTGTGTGCAAGAGACTTTACAATCACCCCTTTCTATCCTGCAGGTTCTGTTTTCAGGGATTCAATCAACAGTAGACTGAAAATACTCAGGAAAAGAACTGCATCTGTACTCAACACATACTAATTTTTTTGTCATTACTCCTTGAATGACGCAGCAAGGACTCACATAACATTTACCTTCTATTAAGTGTTAATAATCTATCAATGACTTAAAACATAGGAGGATTCAGTAGAGTATATGCAAATGCTATGCAATTATGTAAAAGAGACATGAGTATCCAAGGAGTTTGATATCTAAAGAGGTCCTGGGACCAATACTGTGAATACATCAAGGGGCAATTGTATAGTATTTACACACACACACACACACACACACACACATACACACACATATTTATTTGTATAATATATAATCTTGAATGAAGGCACACACACGATAAGTGGACAGAAGCTTAGTAACACATATACTGCATGCACACATGGGATTACTCATGGATGACAAATGTAGTTGTTGACAGATTTTATAGCTAACGGAGAAAGAGGTACACAGAAAATATGAGACAAATCAAGATTAATATTAGTGTTATTAAAGAATGACATAGGCTGTTAAACACAAAAATATATTTTAATGCTAGCTGGAAGGATATTACCAAAAGAAGGTAACAGAGAAAAAAAACCCTCAAATAAAAATTCAAGTAGATAAAAAGAGGGAACTTCATATTATTTCCAAGCACTGTCATGTGTTTGAAACCACCAGAGTAAATAACATATGGCATTCACAAAACAGATTATGCTGTGGGTCACTAAGGTAAATTTTAAAATATAATAATTTGTGTATTAATTAAAATGCAAATAATAGATTCACAATTAGTTTAGTAAAGTCAGTGAAACCATTCATGACTGGTTGGTAAGGTTTGACATTATGAAAATCTTACCCTGCTAGTTCTGATTCAGGTTCACGATTTTTCTTTTGTATTTCATCCAAAGCACATTCCAGGTCGTGCTTTTCCTTCTTTAATTGGTCCACCTCAGACATTGCACTTTTGAACAGCTCAGTGAATTTGAAGAACTGTTCTTTCTCATCTTCAGACTTTGAAAATGAATTTATAATTAATTTCTAAAACTCTAAAGATTCATTCCTTAACAATATTACTTCACATGTGCTCATGAATGTGCAAACGCAAAGTATAAAACGGACGCCAGTAAGAACAGACTTGAAAACAGCAGCTTCTCTGAACACAGCTCAAGTTAACTTGTGCTTTCATCATTTTGTTTTCATCATGACGGTTTCTGAAGTGTGTGCTGCCAAACTTTGTTAAAAAAGAAAGTTTTACACATAAGCATTGATGAAAAATATATGAAAAGGACTGTATTTCCATTTCACTTTCTAAAGATATTCTAGAGGTCTTTCCCTCAATAGCTCAACATATTCCAGGGTTATTTAAAACATATTTTATCAAGACAAATTCTGGAAACCTCGATTTCATCCCAGTTTTGAACCTCACTCGACTTTGGAATGAGATAGATATTTATTCTCTCTAAGCATCCTCTCAGGAATTTTGTTTTGTACCCAGGAACCAAAACCTGAATCCCTTGCTGGCTAGACAGGCACTGTGCCACTGAGCTATGTGCCCAGCCCAGAATTATTTTTTCTGCTATTAAACAATTTTCTTTTCAGTTTCTCTTTTTTGTAATGCGAAGAAGCCTCACTTCTACATGGTTCTTATGGCTTTTCTATCATCTTGTTTCTTGCCCTCCAAAGGACTCTTACATTTCTGATACATAGTCTCATGTACAAATCTAATTTTTCATCACTGGAGGACATTAAAATCTGATTTTCATCCTGTATTTCCAATAAAGTAATGTGAAAGTCACCAAAGACACTTGTTTCCGGAGTTCTCATCCTTCCCACTGCTCAGAGCTTCTGCTCACAGTGACTTCTCTCCACTTCTCTCCACTCCGAGCTCCACTGTGCTCCTAAAGGCAGTTGCTTAAGTCTTATGTCCACTACAGTTCAGATTCCCTCAGATCCTAAATCCAAGCCTTTGAGTCTGATAACCTAATCCCCATTTCCAGATGCAGCCTCTAGACAGGGGTCATTTACACTTTCCCTTCTTCCTTTTAGTTTACTTCTCCCAAGACAAAACTTCCTCATCCATTATTTAGTATGGATTCCTTCTGCACTGAGTCCTACACATTGCATAGTGAGTCACATGGGTTTCAATCTGAATTTTGTGATCTTCTAACATGGGGCTGATGGCCTCACTGTTAGAATGCCACCCAGCATAAGTCACCCTGTATTTCTTTTATACTGTTGCTTTCCTATGGGTTCACATTGCTTTTTTAAATATTTTCCAGTTATATGGTACCACTACCAATTTTTCAACATCTCAATACCTTTGTATATGACACTTAAAGTAAGATGATGGCCCCTGGCATTTTAATTCACAAATGACACCTTATCAACATGTCAGCATGTTATGTGTATGAAAAGTATAGTACAACAACAGGACTAATTTATTTGAATTCTAGAAAAAATTATTTCTCTATATTTCATCAGAGAAAACACTAGGCAGAATTCTGTAGCTCCCTTATAACAAGTCTTTTCTTGTTGTTGAGACAAAATAACCAGACCCACAAGTTAAGAGAGGAAAGGTTCAGAACTCACAGTTTAGGGAGGTTTCAGTTCATAGTAGGCTGGCTCCAGAACAGGGAGGCATTGCAGAGGGGCATCATGGACCAGAAGACAAGCACGAGCAGCAGCAGCAGCAGCAGCAGCAGCAGCAGCAGCAGCAGCAGCAGCAGCAGCAGCATCAAGCTTTTTTCTGTCCCTACATCTTATCCAGGTACTCACCTTTAGGGCAGGTAGCACTCACACCCTTAATCTTAACATCACACCCTTGATCCCAGAACTATGCCAAACCAACCGGTGGACCAACATGGTAATCACATATCCAGAATCCCAACATCATATTCTAGAGATCTAGCTACCTATGAAAAAACCTCATCTATACTCCATGAGGGTTTGGGGGACAGGTAGGCAGGAGACATAGCAGCGAGCATCTGTGTAATGGAGCTCGATGGATCAAATTGCTGTGACTTTAAGAAATCAGTCAATGGAAGGAGCCACCTCACATCTCCACTTCCATGCACACAATGTGTCCTTGTGGTCCTAATTCCCACACAGGAGAACACGGGCCACAGGAGAATCTGCTCTGCCTGGTCAAGAGGTACATGGTTTTCATTACACATCAACAAACTGTCACCCAGTCTTATGCGTTACTCTTAGACTGGACAAGTTTAAATGGCTGATAAACACTAATCAATGGGGAAAAATCATGAAACTGCAATGCTAGGACCACTAGTTCCTCAGTAAGACAAATATCCATTTCTACTTTGTTACTGGCATCTTTTTCCTTGCTTACAGTCAAAGAGAAATACAGTGTCTCTGGGGAAAATGTTTGTGTAGCGCCCTAGTATCCATTCTTGGTGACAATATAAATTACAAAATATCATGGAAAAGCTTTCATTACAAAAAGATATTCAAAATCTTAGATTCAGCAATTGAATTTCCTGGAATTTTAAAAGTTATTGCATCATATTAGCTGAGACTCATGACACACAGTAATATATCAATGTCCAGATCAGCATTATTCCCAAAGAAGTGTGGGGATAACTCTCAAATCCTTCAATGGATAATGGATAAACAAATGTGGTATGTGTAAAATAGGGATTTTAGGCTATAAAAATCTTTTGTATTAAAATATCACTGCCAAAGTCATGAAATGCATGAAACCATTTATCTTCCATAAAGTTAAGAGGACTTCACTACTGCTAGTAAGGAGGAGGTATCAATACGATTACAACAAGTGTTTTTATCAGTAAGATTTTCATAGTGCCTAAAATATTCCTACATACTAGCAGAGGAGGAACTGCTTTCTAGAACAATAGAAATTAAAAAGAATTGCACTTACCAATCTATTGCTCAACAAGTGTTTCTGAGCTCGTTCAAGTTTACCCCTTAGCTTTTGATTTTCCTTTTTCAGGCGCAAATTCTCCAATGTGAGTGTTTGCACAGATCTGTTTAAAAAGTCACATAATCTTTGAAAGACTCCACACAACTTTAAAAGTTAGAAAAAGTAGATGATTTGGTAGGTAAGATTTTTCTCATTGTGCTTGTTGACACTTTTTCTTTGGCATTATTGGGAGTGAACACAGGGCTCCACGTGGAAAGCACATGCTCTCTCCTCACTGTACTATTTCTGCTCCCCTAAATTACTCCTTTCAGGTACATTTATCAAAGCTAGAATTTTCCCCTGGCCTAATGAAGATTTAGTACTTATATAACTGCAATATGTCTCATATTATGCTGCTGATTTCCTTTAGAGATGCTCAAGTCATTTGGTTAAGCCATACCTGTCTAAGGGTTCTTCCGTTTTTTTGTCGTGTTGCACAGAGCTTGTACCTCGGTCTTGTGCTTCTGTCAACTGAAAATTAACAAAAATGTTTATTAATAACCTGCCCATCCCTGGTGTTTGTTTCATAACTGTAGTGGGCACAGCTATAATGCTCCACCTCCGTATGGTTTATAGTTACCTCTGTGCTGTGTCTACACCGTTAGCTGAACTGCTGACGCAGGGATCCAATGGCCCACACCTTACAAAATAACACCCTCTCCCCACTACTTAAGTTACCGACCCCAGCTCTAGGTCTGAAACATATTATATTCCTGATTTTAGACCTGTTAGCAGGTCCTCAAACTGACAAAACTAGAAGGTTAGCACAGTGCTATGGACCTGCATTCCTGGCTGCTTGGTAAGCTGATGCTTGAGACCAGCCTGGGCAACTGGGGGAGACAACTCTTTTGCAGGAAACTATAAAAGTGAAAGTTTTGGTAAAATGGAGAGAAAGAGGAAGTCCCTTTACTTGTGCTGTCCTTTTAGTTGTATTTTTACATTCCACGCATTACATCCTACTTTATGGATTCCAAGTACTATTTATCAACTATGATATGAATAATGCTTATATGACTAAGAGCAATGCCAATGATAATAATACAGAAATGACACTGCAGTAACATCTAGATGTCTCCAGGAACTGTTGGAGAAACAGTATCTAGACAGACACCAGCATGCCTGGGCCAGAGTTCCAACTCCACCAGTCACCAGCAGTGGGAGCTCTATAAAATCTTTCCTCTTAGGTATTATTGTGTTTTCTGTTTTGATAAAGTTTAATATTGCAGGAAAGCTGAGGTAAAAGTTTCCTCAGGTCAAGTGCAGTCTTGATAATTTAGTCAGAAGATCTCTCAAAATTTAAATCAGAAGCTGGGCTTCGTATCACACAGCTGTGATTCTGTCACTCAGAAGGCTGAGTCAACAGGGTTACTGTAACCATGAGACCACCTTGGAGAGGCACAGGAAATTCAAGGCCAGCCTGGGGCACACAAAATGTCTCGGCACAGGGGTCATTTACACTTTCCCTTCTTCCTTTTAGTTTACTTCTCCCAGAACAAAACCTCATCAGCCATTATTTGGTATGGATTCCTTCTGCACTGAGTCCTACACATGGCAAAGTGACTCACATGGGTTTCAATCTGAATTTTGCAATCTTCTAATCTAGGGCTGGAGGCCTCACTGTTAGAATGGCACCCATCATAATTCACCTTGTTTTTCTTTTTTAATGTTGCTTTCCAATGGACCACATTGTCTTTTTTGAATATTTTCCAGTTGTATATGGTACCACTACCAATTTTTCAACATCTCAATACCTTTGTATATGACACTTAAAGTAAGATGATGGCCCCTGGCATTTTAATTCACAAATGACACCTTATCAACATGTCAGCATGTTATGTGTATGAAAAGTATAGTACAACAACAGGACTAATTTATTTGAATTCTAGAAAAAATTGTTTCTCCACATTTCATCATAGAAAACACTAGGCAGAATTCTGTAGCTCCCTTATAACAAGTCTTTTCTTGTTGTTGAGACAAAATAACCAGACTCACAAGTTAAGAGAGGAAAGGTTCGGAACTCACAGTTTATAGAGGTTTCAGTTCATAGTAGGCTGGCTCCAGAACAGGGAGGCATTGCAGAGGGGCATCATGGACCAGAAGACAAGCAGGAGCAGCAGCAGCAGCAGCAGCATCAAGCTTTTTTCTGTCCCTACATCTTATCCAGGTACTCACCTTTAGGGCAGGTAGCACTCATACCGTTAATCTTAACATCACATCCTTGATCCCAGAACTATGCCAAACCAACCGGTGGACCAACTTGGTAATCACATATCCTGAATCCCAACATCATATTCTACAGATCTAGTCACCTATGAAAAACACCCATCTATAGCTCCATGAGAGTTTGGGGGACAGGTAGGCAGGAGACATAGCAACAAGCATCTGTGTAATGGAGCTCGATGGATCAAATTGCTGTGACTTTAACAAATCAGTCAGTGGAAGGAGCCACCTCACATCTCCACTTCCATGCACACAATGTGTCCTTGTGGTCCTAATTCCCACACAGGAGAACACGGGCCACAGGAGAATCTGCTCTGCCTGGTCAAGAGGTACATGGTTTTCATTACACATCAACAAACTGTCACCCAGTCTTATGCGTTACTCTTAGACTGGACAAGTTTAAATGGCTGATAAACACTAATCAATGGGGAAAAATCATGAAACTGCAATGCTAGGACCACTAGTTCCTCAGTAAGACAAATATCCATTTCTACTTTGTTACTGGCATCTTTTTCCTTGCTTACAGTCAAAGAGAAATACAGTGTCTCTGGGGAAAATGCTTGTGTAGTGCCCTTCTATCCATTCTTGGTGACCATATAAATTACAAAATATCATGGAAAAGCTTTCATTGCAACAGATATTCAAAGGCTTAGATTCAGCAATTCAATTTCCTGGAATTTTAAAAGTTATTGTATCATATTAGCTGAGACTCGTGACACACAGTTGTTGGGAGCCACCACATTGCCGAGCCGCCGCATATAGCGATCATGCGGCCTGTGGTAAAGAGTAAAGCCTGAGTTAGATTACCCCTCCCATCGAGCACGTTAGTTTCCTGCTTACCGCGTAAACAACCCGCTCAATAATATGTTAGCCAATCAGCTTGCCTTGCTTACTTTAACATGATTGGACACTGTATCCGTATATATACTGGTGCCACCCCTGGGGGGAAGTAGAAGCCCGGAAGGAGCCACGGAGAGCGGACCGGTAGAGGCTTTGGAGCGAAGCCCGGAAGGAGCCGTGGAGAGCGGACCGGTAGAGGCTTTGGAGCGAAGCCCGGAAGGAGCCGCGGAGAGCGGACCGGTAGAGGCTTTGGAGCGAAGCCCGGAAGAAGCCGCGGGGAGCGGACCAGAGGAGGCTTCGGCTGGGAGCGGTCCCAGGGCAGGCTGTACGGAGAGAAATAAAAGAAAAGGTTGTCCACTGCCAGACTTTGTCGTGTGTCCTTCCTGCCGGCCGGGAGCGACACCGACATTTGGAGGCCCGCACGGGGACTGATCACCCCCGAGACATGACAGTGGACAACGCTCCAACGCAGAGCTGCAAGACAGGTGAGTAGAGGATAAACCTGGGCCCTGGGTGGTGCGCACCTACAGGGTTTGTAGACTCCTCTCAGGCTCACGCGTAAGTGGCGGGTTTCTTGGGCCTCACGCGGTGAGTATGAAACATAACACCAGAACTTAAGGTAATAAAAGAGTGTAAAACATAAACATAGAAGTAAAAATAACAGAAGATAACATGCCAAGTAAAGATACACAGCCTTGGTGTTGGTACTTCGGAGACTCCTAAAGTCCAAGGACCTCAAGGTGGGGCGTAAGACTCTGGAAAATTTCCTTGCAGAAACTGACAGCTTTGCTCCCTGGTTTCTGCCTACAGGGCATGTAAACCTACCCTCCTGGGAAAAGTTGGGCAGAGACCTTTCCCTAGCAGAACGGGAGGGTAGAGCTTCGGTCTCTGCTCGTCCGTTGTGGGAAATGATACACGCGTGCCTAAAGAGTGAGGGTAGTTACGGGGGGAGCTCTCAAAAACTTGTAAAAGTACACGAGGCGTTTAAACAGGCACAGTCAAGAAGCTCCCGGGAAGGGTCCGTCAAAGGAGACAAAGATATAAAGGAGGAAGACGGGGCTCAGGCCTCGGAGTCGTCCGACTCCGAGAATGAGGAAGGCTTAGACAACGATGAGACCAAGGAGCCTAGATGCCAAGAGGATAGGCCGCTCGATAAGGAGTCGCAGGGTTCTTTCTCAGCATTGCGCCGCGAATTGCGCTCCGCTCGACTTGGTCTGCGGAGGAGTAGAGAGCTCCTGAGCGCCCCCTGGCACGAGAGGGAGGCGAAGCCTTCCGCCCCACCTTGGGGGCTGTTCCCGGAAGCGATCCCTCGCCTCGAGGCGGCCGCGTGGGAGCTCCCTCCCCTTTCGCCAGAACAGGAAGTGATGCACGGGCCCCCATTTTCCGCCCAATCACGGCCGCCATCCTATGCTCCGCCGCCGGCGGGTCAGTATTTTTACAGGCGGCTTTGGCAGGGGGGACATTTGTCTCATGAGGTACATCCACCACCTGGGATAGATAGTGGCCCCTACGGGATATTTCCTGTACAAGTAGCTATGGGCCAGGGACGTAATGCATGGGAGCCTTTTGAGATAAAGCAGATTAGAGAACTTAAAAACAACCTTTGGGCCGACTGCGCCTTACACCATTGCCATGCTGGAGAACCTGTCTTCTGGGCCCCTCATTGGCGAGCCTGGTACACAGAGTTCTCTGCCGAGCAGGCTGAAAAAAAAACGCCGGTTGAGGAAATGGGGGCTGGGGATTTAGCTCAGGGGCATAAGCGCCTGCCTTGTAAGCAGGCAATCGCCAGTTCGATCCCTGGTACCAAAAAAAAAAAAAAAAACGAAAAAGATAAAAATAAAAAATAAAAAATAAAAAACAAAAAGGGGGAGTAAGCCAAGGCCTGCCTCCAAAGGCGCGGTTATCTATGGCATGACAATGGATGGGCCCGGATCCGGTAATCAGCTGGAACCGAGGCGCGGTTTGTGTTTTTCTGCAGGAATTGGGACGAGAACCACTGTGGGTACCGGAGAGACTGACACGGGCGACAAAGCCCTCGACTGAAGATCAGACCTGCCCTACCGGAGATCCATCACAGACCAACCAACAAGATGAATAGAAATAGCGGTAGCCCAAAATGGACAAAAAGATCCTCAGGCATATGCATGGCTCGCTCGCCTAGCCTATGACCGAGTCTAGGGGCGGTGAGCTTCCCACACTCCTCCTCTAAAAAATTATGACATAGCTGGGTAGGAGAGTCAATGACGGGTAAGAGCGTACTCCCCCGGTGCGACTCAACCTAAGCCAGGCCCTACCCCATCCTGCACGTAAGCCGCTGGACTGTTAGATGCTGCCCAGGTCTAAATTTCTCTCCGAGGGGATTTCTTTACGGAGAGGAAATGAGTGCAAGCTTGTGTGCATCCAGGTTCCGTCCAGTTTGTGCCTGGCCCTAGAAAAAGGACGAGGGCCTCAGGGCCTTGGCAGACCATGGCACGGCCGACCAGGGTCTAAGCCAAGGACCTACGGTGGGCCTACGCATAGGGCATAAGCCTCTGCACCCAGTCCAGGAAGGGCTACGATGCGCACATTCATAAAAAATAAAAAAGGGGGAGATGTTGGGAGCCACCACATTGCCGAGCCGCCGCATATAGCGATCATGCGGCCTGTGGTAAAGAGTAAAGCCTGAGTTAGATTACCCCTCCCATCGAGCACGTTAGTTTCCTGCTTACCGCGTAAACAACCCGCTCAATAATATGTTAGCCAATCAGCTTGCCTTGCTTACTTTAACATGATTGGACACTGTATCCGTATATATACTGGTGCCACCCCTGGGGGGAAGTAGAAGCCCGGAAGGAGCCGCGGAGAGCGGACCGGTAGAGGCTTTGGAGCGAAGCCCGGAAGGAGCCATGGAGAGCGGACCGGTAGAGGCTTTGGAGCGAAGCCCGGAAGGAGCCGCGGAGAGCGGACCGGTAGAGGCTTTGGAGCGAAGCCCGGAAGGAGCCGCGGGGAGCGGACCAGAGGAGGCTTTGGCTGGGAGCGGTCCCAGGGCAGGCTGTACGGAGAGAAATAAAAGAAAAGGTTGTCCACTGCCAGACTTTGTCGTGTGTCCTTCCTGCCGGCCGGGAGCGACACCGACACACAGTAATATATCAATGTCCAGATCAGCATTATTCCCAAAGAAGTGTGGCAATAACTCTCAAATCCTTCAATGGATAATGGATAAACAAATGTGGTATGTGTAAAATAGGGATTTTAGGCTATAAAAATCTTTTGTATTAAAATATCACTGCCAAAGTCATGAATTGCATGAAACCATTTATCTTCCATAAAGTTAAGAGGACGTCACTACTGCTAGTAAGGAGATATCAATATGATTACAACAAGTGTTTTTATCAGTGAAACTTTTCATAGTGCCTAAAATATTCCTATGTACTAGCAGAGAAATAAGAACTCCTTTCAAGTACGATAGAAATTAAAAACAAATGGACTCACCAAACTGTCATTTGACAAGTGTTTCTGAGCATGTTCAACTTTTCCTGCTGTTTTCTTCCTTTTCTTTGTCTGGCTCAAAATCTCCATTTCGAGACTTTGAACATTTTCTTTCAGGTGTGAACACACCAATTCAATCCTAAAACATTGATTTCAAAATAATTATTTGCACAGATCTGTTAAAAATGCATAACCTTTGAAAGACTACTCACAATTTTAAAAGTTAGAAAAAGTAGATGATTTGGTAGGTAAGATTTTTCTCATTGTGCTTGTTGATGATTTTTCTTTTGCATTATTGGGAGTGAACACAGGGCTCCACGTGGAAAGCACATGCTCTCTCCTCACTGTACTATTTCTGCTCCCCAAAATTACTCCTTTCAGGTAAATTTATCAAAGCTAGAATTTTCCTCTGGCCTAATGAAGATTTAGTACTTATATTACTGCAATATGTCTCATATTATGCTGCTGATTTCCTTTAGAGATGCTCAAGTCATTTGGTTAAGCCATACCTGTCTAAGGGTTCTTCCGTTTTTTCGTCATGTTGCACAGAGCTTGTATCTCGGTCTTGTGCTTCTGTCAACTGAAAATTAACAAAAATATTTATTAATAACCTGCCCATCCTTGGTGTTTGTTTCATAACTGTAGTGGGCACAGCTATAATGCTCCACCTCCGTATGGTTTATAGTTACCTCTGTGCTGTGTCTACACCGTTAGCTGAACTGCTGACGCAGGGATCCAATGGCCCACACCTTACAAAATAACACCCTCTCCCCACTACTTAAGTTACCGACCCCAGCTCTAGGTCTGAAACATATTATATTCCTGATTTTAGACCTGTTAGCAGGTCCTCAAACTGACAAAACTAGAAGGTTAGCACAGTGCTATGGACCTGCATTCCTGGCTGCTTGGTAAGCTGATGCTTGAGACCAGCCTGGGCAACTGGGGGAGACAACTCTTTTGCAGGAAACTATAAAAGTGAAAGTTTTGGGTTACGGCCCTTCGGTTCTCGCGGCCGCTGTCTCCTCTCTGTGGCTGACTGTGGGATTGCAGCCAAGAAACCCTCCGGTTCCAAGAGAGAAAAACAAAACAGAGCAAAGCAGATCAGAAGAAAACAATCAATGTGAAACAGGATTTCGAGCTGCCGCGCCTGGACATAGGTCTGCAGAGGAGGAGCTGGGCAGATCTGGGGTGCCCTCACAGGCCTCTCTGCGTGTCTGGAGGACTCTGGATATCTCCGCGCAGACTGCTGGAGTTCCCCCAGGCTTCCAGGTGCAGTAAAGGGGCGAGGTGGGTTTGAGGCTATCACATCAGCCTCCCCATTCCGGCTCCACTTGGAGACCTGCTGAGCTGCCGACGGATGGGCGGGCCCACACTATCAGCGTAGCCCAGCCTGTTTAGCTGCCGTGCCTGGACATAGGTCTGCAGAAGAGGAGCTGGGCAGATCTGGGGTGCCCTCACAGGCCTCTCTGCGTGTCTGGAGGACTCTGGATATCTCTGCAACCAGGGAGGGTCCACAGGTTCCTGAAGCACTACGGCCTGTGGTGAGTACCCTAACCCGGCTGCGATTGAAGAACTGTGGAGCTTCCAAGGGGCAGGTGGGCGCACAGTGTCCCTGAGGCCCAGCTTGTCTTGAACTGCGGAGTTCTGAGCAGGCAGAGGAGAGCCACTAGTTCTGTAGGCCCAAAGGCTTGGGGTAGCGTGGTGCCAGAATCTCAGTAGCTCCAAACATAGAAGGGGATTTTCAACAGATCCTGAGGAAGCTTTCAAATAACACTTGAAACACAGAAATATAGGAAAATGACAAAACGAAAGACTAAATTACAACCTCAAACCTCCAGCCCATCTCAAGAAACCCTAGGAGCGATGTATATAGAAGAAAATATATCCCATCCACCTCATATATCGGACACAATAGCCACTGAAATTGACAAGCAACTCCAGGAAGCTTTAAAGAAATTCAAACTCGAAATAATCTCCCAGATAAAAGAAGAAATGATAAAAGAAATGAAAGAGATTCTAAATATATCTAAAGAAAACACAGATAAAAAATTGGAGGAACTAAACAAAAAGATAGAATCCCTAGATGAGCAATATAAGAAACAAACAGAATACATAATGCAGATGCACAGAGATATACAGGAAATAAAAAACTCCACTGAAAGTTGTAAAAACCGCCTTAATGAAAGTGAAGATAGAATTTCAGACCTTGAAGACAGGACTGCAGCTAGTGAACAGGAAAGGAAAGATCTTTTGAAAATAACAAGGAATCAGGAAACAACAATTCAACAACTGCAGGACGATGCAAAGAAGAATAACATAAGAATGATAGGGATTAATGAAAGAGAGGGAGACAACATGAAGGATGTCAGGAGGATATTTAGAGAAGTAATAGCTGAAAATTTCCCAAGCATGAGATCAGAAACTGACATCAGGATCAGTGAAGCATATAGAACTCCAAACAGTCATAACCAAAATAAAACTACACCCAGACATATAATAATCACCATCCCAGAAATCCAACACAAGAATAGATTATTAAAAGCTGTCAGAGAGAAAAGACAGATCACTTATAAAGGAAAACCTATCAGAATCACAGCAGACTTCTCAGCACAAACAATAAAGTCAAGAAGAGCATGGAGTGAAGTATTCCAGATCCTAAAGCAAAACGATTTCCAACCGAGACTGATATATCCTGCAAAACTATCATTCAAAATAGATGGTGCAATACGATACTTCCATGACAAAGAACAGCTGAAGAACTTCATGAACACCAAACCAATCCTGCAAAAAATATTGAAAGACAGTTTAGAAACACAAAGGAAAAAACCACTAAGCAAAGCAAATAATTAAACAGAACAGAAAGATAAAGATGCAACAGCAGAGAGATAACATTCCTACAATTAACCAGCATTTAACAGTAATAACCATTAATGTAAATGGTCTCAATGCACCAATTAAAAGAAACAGACTAGCAGAATGGATCAAGAAACAAAATCCAACCATATGCTGTTTACAGGAAACCCATCTAACCCAGAAGGATACTCACAGACTGAAAGTCAAAGGATGGAAAACAATTCTCCATGCAGCAGGAATCCAAAAAAAGGCAGGAGTAGCCATTCTGTTTGCAGACAACGTGAACTTTAAACCAACAATGACCATAAAGGACAAAGAAGGTCACTACATACTCGTAAGGGGAAAACTCCAAGAGGAAGAGATAACTATCTTAAATATATATGCACCAAACTCCAGAGCACCCAGTTATATAAAACAATTATTAACAGAAATGAAAACTCAAATTATCAGTAACACAATTGTAACAGGAGACCTTAATACACCACTGACACCAAGGGACAGATCAACCAGACAGAAAATGAGCAAAGAAATAACAGAACTGAATCACACCTGTGAACAAATGGGTTTGATAGACATATACAGAATGTTCCACCCAACAACATCAGAATACACATTCTTCTCAGCAGTACATGGATCATTTTCTAAAATAGACCATATATTAGCTCACAGAACATATTTAAGCAAATGCAAAAAAGTTGAAATCATCCCTTGCATATTATCAGATCATAGCGCTCTGAAATTAGAAATTAATGACAAAAGATACTGCAAAAATTCCACAAACACATGGAAACTAAATAACACACTCTTGAGTAATCAGTGGGTCACAGAAGAAATTAAAGAAGAAATTAAACAATACCTAAAAGAAAATGAAAATGCAGATACAACTTACCGGAATCTGTGGGATGCAATGAAAGCCGTTCTGAGAGGAAAATTTATTGCACTGAGTTCCCACATCAGGAAAACAGAACGAATACAAATAAATAACTTGATGCTACACCTCAAACAGCTAGAAAAAGAAGAGCAAGTCAAGCCCAAAGCCAAAAGAAGAGAGGAAATTATAAAAATCAGAGCAGAAATCAATGCAATAGAGACTAAGAAAACAATCCAAAGAATCAACGAATCAAAGAGTTGGTTCTTTGAAAGAATAAATAAAATTGATAAGCCCCTAGCCAACCTTATTTAAAAAAGGGAAGAAAAAGCTCAAATTCATGCAATAAGAAATGAAAAAGGAGAAATCACTACAGACCCAATAGAAATACAGAGGATCATCAACACCTATTTCGAAAACCTCTACTCTCAAAAGTTTGATAACACAGAAGAAATAGACAGATTCTTAGAAGCATATGAAGTACCAAAGCTAGATCAAGAGGATATAAAACTGTTGAATAACCCAATCTCTGCTAATGAACTTGAAAATGTAATTAAGGCCTTACCCACCAAGAAAAGCCCAGGCCCAGATGGATTCACTGCAGAATTCTACAAGAAATATAAAGAAGACCTAATGCCGACACTCCTCAAACTATTCAATGAAATTGAAAGGGAAGCAATCCTTCCTAAGTCATTCCTGGAAGCAAACATTACTCTAGTACCAAAACCTGAGAAAGACCCAACTATAAAAGAGAACTATAGACCGATCTCCCTAATGAACACAGATGCAAAAATCCTCAATAAAATATTGGCAAATAGGATCCAGCAAATCATCAAGAAGATTATACACCATGACCAAGTGGGATTCATCCCAGGAATGCAAGGATGGTTCAACATACGCAAATCAATAAATGTAATCCACCATATCAATAAAGCCAAAAATAAGAATCACATGATCATCTCTATAGATGCAGAAAAAGCCTTCGATAAGGTCCAACACTTATTCATGATAAGAACTTTACAGAAAATTGGAATAAATGGTCTTTACCTCAATATAATAAAGGCCATTTATGACAAACCAACAGCCAGCATCATACTAAATGGCCAAAAATTGAAAGCCTTTACTTTAAAATCGGGCACAAGACAAGGATGTCCTTTATCACCACTCCTATTTAATATAGTACTGGAAGTACTAGCCAGAGCAATTAGGCAAGAAAGAGAAATAAAAGGGGTAAAGATAGGAAAAAAAGAAGTTAAATTATCATTGTTTGCAGATGACATGATACTCTACATAGAAGACCCCCTAAACTCCATTGAAATACTCTTAGATACAATAAATAAATTCAGTAATGTGGCTGGATACAAAATCAATACTCAGAAATCAATAGCATTCCTATACACGAACAACAAAATTACAGAGAGGGAAATAAGAGAAACTGGACTATTCACATTAGCAAGCAAAAAAAATGAAATATTTAGGAATTACTCTTACGAAAGAAGTGAAAGACTTATACAGTGAAAATTACAATACACTGAAAAAGGAAATTGAAGATGATCTCAGAAAATGGAAAGACATCCCTTGCTCATGGATAGGAAGAACAAACATTGTGAAAATGGCCATTCTCCCAAAACTGTTATACAGATTCAATGCAATCCCAATAGAAATTCCATCAACATACCTTATAGATCTAGAGAAATCACTCCTAAATTTCATCTGGAACCAGAAGAGACCCAGAATCGCAAAGGCAATTCTAAGCAGCAAAGACAAAGCAGGAGGCATCACAATCCCTGACTTGAAGTTATACTACAAAGCAACAGTAGTAAAATCAACATGGTATTGGAATCAAAACAGAGCCGAAGATCAGTGGAATAGATTAGAAGATACAACCACAACTACGAACACACTCAACCACCTTATCTTTGATAAAGGAGCCAAGCAGGTTCACTGGAAGAACGACAGTCTCTTTAATAAATGGTGCTGGAAAAACTGGCTCTCCATTTGCCAAAAACTAAAGCTAGACCCATGTCTATCACCATGTACTAAATTAAAATCTAAATGGGTCAAAGATCTGAATATTAAAACAGAAACACTAAATCTATTGGAAGACAAATTAGGTAGAAACCTTGGAGACATAGGAGTAGGTAAAGAATTCATGAACAGGACTCAAACCGCACGGGAAATACTTCCCAGAATCAATAACTGGGACCACTTCTTATTAAAAAGTTTCTGCATGTCAAAAGAAATCTGCAGCATAGTGAAAAGAAAACCCACAAACTGGGAAAAGATTTTAGTGAACTCTCTCTCAGACAAGGGCCTCTTGTCTAAAACATATAAAGAATTAAAGAAACTCAGACCTCCAAAATTCAAAGATCCAATCCAAAAATGGGCATCTGAGATGAATACGCAATTCTCAGATGAAGAAATGCAAATGGCAAATAAATACATGAAAAAATGCTCATCATCATTGGTCATTAGAGAAATGCAAATTAAAACCACACTGAGATACCATCTCACTCCTGAAAGAATGGCCAGGATCAAGAAAACCGACAACAAATGCTGGAGAGGCTGTGGGGAAAAGGGAACTCTTCTGCACTGCTGGTGGGAGTGTAGACTGGTACAGCCTTTGTGGAGATCTGTCTGGAGATTTCTCAAAAAGTTGGGACTGGAAGTCCCATTTATTCCAGCTATTCCACTTCTAGGCATATTCCCAGAAGAACTGAAAGCATCATACCACAGTGATATATGTGCACCTATGTTTATAGCAGCACAATTTGTAATCGCCAGATCATGGAAACAACCCAAGTGTCCATCAACTGAGGAATGGATAAAAAAGTTGTGGTATTTCTATACAATGGAGTAGATCACATTGAGATATTTATCAATAAATGGGCGCAGCTTGAGACCATACTCATAAGTGAAATAAATCAATCTCGCATGTGTGAATACCGAATAGTTTCCCTAATGTAAGTAATGATTCAAATATATAAAAATATGTGGTAATCATGATTCCCCATTAGGTGGCCTTGGAGCCTTATAAAGTTTTCACTCATTAATTAGAAAGGCTTTATTCTGGGCTTCTTGATTTGAAAATATTTGAAGCTAGAGTATATGAAGTTTTATCCAAATATTTCAAGGAAAAAGACACTATGGTAACTACTATTAAGTCAGGTTATATGGTGGTGAAGTACTAGGTTGTTGAAACAGTCATGCTGTGACCTCTATTGTTATATTGTTATGTCCTGTTTTATCTCAATCTCCCCCTTATTGTTTTAAAAAAATTAGTCATTTCTTATGTTTGTCTTAATTAAAGAAAAAATTCAAATAATTAGGATATATAAATAATAACTCTTTTTGATTTCCTATTAACTTGTTTTGAAGTCCTGTAGTACTCCCACGATCTTGTTTTGACTGATTAGACTCTGTTCCATTCTATATGGTAGTATCAAGTTTGAAGACATAGGCAACTACTTTGAAGACAATAAGATTCACTAAGATACCCATTCTGGTTTGACTATTGTCTTCTTTGGAAGTCCTGTAATGTTTACAATGCCTAAGTTGTATTGGTCTTGTTCTCTACTGTTTTGTCCAACTTTATAATATCTAATGAGATAGACAATTCTTTTTAAGGAAACAAGGGACAACGTTGATAACCATAGTTGATAAACTTGTACTGTGTTCTACACCATGTGCTATGTCTATCCTTGGTATTGACTGACAGCTTTGTTTTGCCATATTTGACTGTATTCTCCCCCCCTTCCCCAAAAGTAATAAGCACTAAGGAGTAATGAAATCCAAAGTGTGTGAATTTTGTTGTAAAAAAGAGAGGGGAAGAAAAAAAAAAGAGCTCTAACGGATATAACAGCAAGTGTGTTTAGGGGTGTTAAATAGCTGACTGTATCAATGTTTGTGGATCATTGAACACAGATGTTTGCAGTCTACCTGTTTGAATGTCCACCTTGTATTCTTTGATACTGTGATTTGAGGAACTATTTTCAAGATGATAATATGTAATATACTAACAGGTGATTTCTTACTGTTATGTTTTTTTTTGTTTGTTTGTTTGCTTTGTTTTTGTTTTGTTTTGTTTTGTTTTTTTTGTAGTTCTGTATTACGTGTACCCTTACACCGCTTTGGTTTGTTTTGTGTTTTTCTCTTTTTCCTCTTAAATAAAAAAAAAAAAAAAAAAGTGAAAGTTTTGGTAAAATGGAGAGAAAGAGGAAGTCCCTTTACTTGTGCTGTCCTTTTAGTTGTATTTTTACATTCCACGCATTACATCCTACTTTATGGATTCCAAGTACTATTTATCAACTATGATATGAATAATGCTTATATGACTAAGAGCAATGCCAATGATAATAATACAGAAATGACACTGCAGTAACATCTAGATGTCTCCAGGAACTGTTGGAGAAACAGTATCTAGACAGACACCAGCATGCCTGGGCCAGAGTTCCAACTCCACCAGTCACCAGCAGTGGGAGCTCTATAAAATCTTTCCTCTTAGGTATTATTGTGTTTTCTGTTTTGATAAAGTTTAATATTGCAGGAAAGCTGAGGTAAAAGTTTCCTCAGGTCAAGTGCAGTCTTGATAATTTAGTCAGAAGATCTCTCAAAATTTAAATCAGAAGCTGGGCTTCGTGTCACACAGCTGTGATTCTGTCACTCAGGAGGCTGAGTCAACAGGGTTACTGTAACCATGAGACCACCTTGGAGAGGCACAGGAAATTCAAGGCCAGCCTGGGGTACACAAAATGTCTCGGCACAGGGATCATTTACACTTTCCCTTCTTCCTTTTAGTTTACTTCTCCCAGAACAAAACCTCATCAGCCATTATTTGGTATGGATTCCTTCTGCACTGAGTCCTACACATGGCAAAGTGACTCACATGGGTTTCAATCTGAATTTTGCAATCTTCTAATCTAGGGCTGGAGGCCTCACTGTTAGAATGGCACCCATCATAATTCACCTTGTTTTTCTTTTTTAATGTTGCTTTCCAATGGACCACATTGTCTTTTTTGAATATTTTCCAGTTGTATATGGTACCACTACCAATTTTTCAACATCTCAATACCTTTGTATATGACACTTAAAGTAAGATGATGGCCCCTGGCATTTTAATTCACAAATGACACCTTATCAACATGTCAGCATGTTATGTGTATGAAAAGTATAGTACAACAACAGGACTAATTTATTTGAATTCTAGAAAAAATTGTTTCTCCACATTTCATCATAGAAAACACTAGGCAGAATTCTGTAGCTCCCTTATAACAAGTCTTTTCTTGTTGTTGAGACAAAATAACCAGACTCACAAGTTAAGAGAGGAAAGGTTCGGAACTCACAGTTTATAGAGGTTTCAGTTCATACTAGGCTGGCTCCAGAACAGGGAGGCATTGCAGAGGGGCATCACGGACCAGAAGACAAGCAGGAGCAGCAGCAGCAGCAGCAGCATCAAGCTTTTTTCTGTCCCTACATCTTATCCAGGTACTCACCTTTAGGGCAGGTAGCACTCATACCGTTAATCTTAACATCACATCCTTGATCCCAGAACTATGCCAAACCAACCGGTGGACCAACTTGGTAATCACATATCCTGAATCCCAACATCATATTTTACAGATCTAGTCACCTATGAAAAACACCCATCTATAGCTCCATGAGAGTTTGGGGGACAGGTAGGCAGGAGACATAGCAACAAGCATCTGTGTAATGGAGCTCGATGGATCAAATTGCTGTGACTTTAACAAATCAGTCAGTGGAAGGAGCCACCTCACATCTCCACTTTCATGCACACAATGTGTCCTTGTGGTCCTAATTCCCACACAGGTGAACACGGGCCACAGAAGAATCTGCTCTGCCTGGTCAAGAGGTATATGGTTTTCATTACACATCAACAAACTGTCACCCAGTCTTATGCGTTACTCTTAGACTGGACAAGTTTAAATGGCTGATAAACACTAATCAATGGGGAAAAATCATGAAACTGCAATGCTAGGACCACTAGTTCCTCAGTAAGACAAATATCCATTTCTACTTTGTTACTGGCATCTTTTTCCTTGCTTACAGTCAAAGAGAAATACAGTGTCTCTGGGGAAAATGCTTGTGTAGTGCCCTACTATCCATTCTTGGTGACCATATAAATTACAAAATATCATGGAAAAGCTTTCATTGCAACAGATATTCAAAGTCTTAGATTCAGCAATTCAATTTCCTGGAATTTTAAAAGTTATTGTATCATATTAGCTGAGACTCGTGACACACAGTAATATATCAATGTCCAGATCAGCATTATTCCCAAAGAAGTGTGGGAACAACTCTCAAATCCTTCAATGGATAATGGATAAACAAATGTGGTATGTGTAAAATAGGGATTTTAGGCTATAAAAATCTTTTGTATTAAAATATCACTGCCAAAGTCATGAATTGCATGAAACCATTTATCTTCCATAAAGTTAAGAGGACGTCACTACTGCTAGTAAGGAGGTATCAATATGATTACAACAAGTGTTTTTATCAGTGAAACTTTTCATAGTGCCTAAAATATTCCTATGTACTAGCAGAGAAATAAGAACTCCTTTCAAGTACGATAGAAATTAAAAACAAATGGACTCACCAAACTGTCATTTGACAAGTATTTCTGAGCATGTTCAACTTTTCCTGCTGTTTTCTTCCTTTTCTTTGTCTGGCTCAAAATCTCCATTTCGAGACTTTGAACATTTTCTTTCAGGTGTGAACACACCAATTCAATCCTAAAATATTGATTTCAAAATAATTATTTGCACAGATCTGTTAAAAATGCATAACCTTTGAAAGACTACTCACAATTTTAAAAGTTAGAAAAAGTAGATGATTTGGTAGGTAAGATTTTTCTCATTGTGCTTGTTGACACTTTTTCTTTGGCATTATTGGGAGTGAACACAGGGCTCCACGTGGAAAGCACATGCTCTCTCCTCACTGTACTATTTCTGCTCCCCTAAATTACTCCTTTCAGGTACATTTATCAAAGCTAGAATTTTCCCCTGGCCTAATGAAGATTTAGTACTTATATAACTGCAATATGTCTCATATTATGCTGCTGATTTCCTTTAGAGATGCTCAAGTCATTTGGTTAAGCCATACCTGTCTAAGGGTTCTTCCGTTTTTTCGTCGTGTTGCACAGAGCTTGTATCTCGGTCTTGTGCTTCTGTCAACTGAAAATTAACAAAAATATTTATTAATAACCTGCCCATCCCTGGTGTTTGTTTCATAACTGTAGTGGGCACAGCTATAGTGCTCCACCTCCGTATGGTTTATAGTTACCTCTGTGCTGTGTCTACACCGTTAGCTGAACTGCTGACGCAGGGATCCAATGGCCCACACCTTACAAAATAACACCCTCTCCCCACTACTTAAGTTACCGACCCCAGCTCTAGGTCTGAAACATATTATATTCCTGATTTTAGACCTGTTAGCAGGTCCTCAAACTGACAAAACTAGAAGGTTAGCACAGTGCTATGGACCTGCATTCCTGGCTGCTTGGTAAGCTGATGCTTGAGACCAGCCTGGGCAACTGGGGGAGACAACTCTTTTGCAGGAAACTATAAAAGTGAAAGTTTTGGTAAAATGGAGAGAAAGAGGAAGTCCCTTTACTTGTGCTGTCCTTTTAGTTGTATTTTTACATTCCACGCATTACATCCTACTTTATGGATTCCAAGTACTATTTATCAACTATGATATGAATAATGCTTATATGACTAAGAGCAATGCCAATGATAATAATACAGAAATGACACTGCAGTAACATCTAGATGTCTCCAGGAACTGTTGGAGAAACAGTATCTAGACAGACACCAGCATGCCTGGGCCAGAGTTCCAACTCCACCAGTCACCAGCAGTGGGAGCTCTATAAAATCTTTCCTCTTAGGTATTATTGTGTTTTCTGTTTTGATAAAGTTTAATATTGCAGGAAAGCTGAGGTAAAAGTTTCCTCAGGTCAAGTGCAGTCTTGATAATTTAGTCAGAAGATCTCTCAAAATTTAAATCAGAAGCTGGGCTTCGTGTCACACAGCTGTGATTCTGTCACTCAGGAGGCTGAGTCAACAGGGTTACTGTAACCATGAGACCACCTTGGAGAGGCACAGGAAATTCAAGGCCAGCCTGGGGTACACAAAATGTCTCGGCACAGGGGTCATTTACACTTTCCCTTCTTCCTTTTAGTTTACTTCTCCCAGAACAAAACCTCATCAGCCATTATTTGGTATGGATTCCTTCTGCACTGAGTCCTACACATGGCAAAGTGACTCACATGGGTTTCAATCTGAATTTTGCAATCTTCTAATCTAGGGCTGGAGGCCTCACTGTTAGAATGGCACCCGTCATAATTCACCTTGTTTTTCTTTTATAATGTTGCTTTCCAATGGACCACATTGTCTTTTTTGAATATTTTCCAGTTGTACATGGTACCACTACCAATTTTTCAACATCTCAATACCTTTGTATATGACACTTAAAGTAAGATGATGGCCCCTGGCATTTTAATTCACAAACGACACCTTATCAACATGTCAGCATGTTATGTGTATGAAAAGTATAGTACAACAACAGGACTAATTTATTTGAATTCTAGAAAAAATTGTTTCTCCACATTTCATCATAGAAAACACTAGGCAGAATTCTGTAGCTCCCTTATAACAAGTCTTTTCTTGTTGTTGAGACAAAATAACCAGACTCACAAGTTAAGAGAGGAAAGGTTCGGAACTCACAGTTTATAGAGGTTTCAGTTCATACTAGGCTGGCTCCAGAACAGGGAGGCATTGCAGAGGGGCATCACGGACCAGAAGACAAGCAGGAGCAGCAGCAGCAGCAGCAGCATCAAGCTTTTTTCTGTCCCTACATCTTATCCAGGTACTCACCTTTAGGGCAGGTAGCACTTATGCCCTTAATCTTAACATCACATCCTTGATCCCAGAACTATGCCAAACCAACCGGTGGACCAACTTGGTAATCACATATCCTGAATCCCAACATCATATTCTACAGATCTAGTCACCTATGAAAAACACCCATCTATAGCTCCTTGAGAGTTTGGGGGACAGGTAGGCAGGAGACATAGCAACAAGCATCTGTGTAATGGAGCTCGATGGATCAAATTGCTGTGACTTTAACAAATCAGTCAGTGGAAGGAGCCACCTCACATCTCCACTTCCATGCACACAATGTGTCCTTGTGGTCCTAATTCCCACACAGGAGAACACGGGCCACAGAAGAATCTCCTCTGCCTGGTCAAGAGGTACATGGTTTTCATTACACATCAACAAACTGTCACCCAGTCTTATGCATTACTCTTAGACTGGACAAGTTTAAATGGCTGATAAACACTAATCAATGGGGAAAAATCATGAAACTGCAATGCTAGGACCACTAGTTCCTCAGTAAGACAAATATCCATTTCTACTTTGTTACTGGCATCTTTTTCCTTGCTTACAGTCAAAGAGAAATAAAGTGTCTCTGGGGAAAATGCTTGTGTAGTGCCCTTCTATCCATTCTTGGTGACCATATAAATTACAAAATATCATGGAAAAGCTTTCATTGCAACAGATATTCAAAGTCTTAGATTCAGCAATTCAATTTCCTGGAATTTTAAAAGTTATTGTATCATATTAGCTGAGACTCGTGACACACAGTAATATATCAATGTCCAGATCAGCATGATTCCCAAAGAAGTGTGGGAATAACTCTCAAATCCTTCAATGGATAATGGATAAACAAATGTGGTATGTGTAAAATAGGGATTTTAGGCTATAAAAATCTTTTGTATTAAAATATCACTGCCAAAGTCATGAATTGCATGAAACCATTTATCTTCCATAAAGTTAAGAGGACGTCACTACTGCTAGTAAGGAGGTATCAATATGATTACAACAAGTGTTTTTATCAGTGAAACTTTTCATAGTGCCTAAAATATTCCTACGTACTAGCAGAGAAATAAGAACTCCTTTCAAGTACGATAGAAATTAAAATCAAATGGACTCACCAAACTGTCATTTGACAAGTGTTTCTGAGCATGTTCAACTTTTCCTGCTGTTTTCTTCCTTTTCTTTGTCTGGCTCAAAATCTCCATTTCGAGACTTTGAACATTTTCTTTCAGGTGTGAACACACCAATTCAATCCTAAAATATTGATTTCAAAATAATTATTTGCACAGATCTGTTAAAAATGCATAACCTTTGAAAGACTACTCACAATTTTAAAAGTTAGAAAAAGTAGATGATTTGGTAGGTAAGATTTTTCTCATTGTGCTTGTTGACACTTTTTCTTTGGCATTATTGGGAGTGAACACAGGGCTCCACGTGGAAAGCACATGCTCTCTCCTCACTGTACTATTTCTGCTCCCCTAAATTACTCCTTTCAGGTACATTTATCAAAGCTAGAATTTTCCCCTGGCCTAATGAAGATTTAGTACTTATATAACTGCAATATGTCTCATATTATGCTGCTGATTTCCTTTAGAGATGCTCAAGTCATTTGGTTAAGCCATACCTGTCTAAGGGTTCTTCCGTTTTTTCGTCGTGTTGCACAGAGCTTTTACCTCGGTCTTGTGCTTCTGTCAACTGAAAATTAACAAAAATATTTATTAATAACCTGCCCATCCCTGGTGTTTGTTTCATAACTGTAGTGGGCACAGCTATAATGCTCCACCTCCGTATGGTTTATAGTTACCTCTGTGCTGTGTCTACACCGTTAGCTGAACTGCTGACGCAGGGATCCAATGGCCCACACCTTACAAAATAACACCCTCTCCCCACTACTTAAGTTACCGACCCCAGCTCTAGGTCTGAAACATATTATATTCCTGATTTTAGACCTGTTAGCAGGTCCTCAAACTGACAAAACTAGAAGGTTAGCACAGTGCTATGGACCTGCATTCCTGGCTGCTTGGTAAGCTGATGCTTGAGACCAGCCTGGGCAACTGGGGGAGACAACTCTTTTGCAGGAAACTATAAAAGTGAAAGTTTTGGTAAAATGGAGAGAAAGAGGAAGTCCCTTTACTTGTGCTGTCCTTTTAGTTGTATTTTTACATTCCACGCATTACATCCTACTTTATGGATTCCAAGTACTATTTATCAACTATGATATGAATAATGCTTATATGACTAAGAGCAATGCCAATGATAATAATACAGAAATGACACTGCAGTAACATCTAGATGTCTCCAGGAACTGTTGGAGAAACAGTATCTAGACAGACACCAGCATGCCTGGGCCAGAGTTCCAACTCCACCAGTCACCAGCAGTGGGAGCTCTATAAAATCTTTCCTCTTAGGTATTATTGTGTTTTCTGTTTTGATAAAGTTTAATATTGCAGGAAAGCTGAGGTAAAAGTTTCCTCAGGTCAAGTGCAGTCTTGATAATTTAGTCAGAAGATCTCTCAAAATTTAAATCAGAAGCTGGGCTTCGTGTCACACAGCTGTGATTCTGTCACTCAGGAGGCTGAGTCAACAGGGTTACTGTAACCATGAGACCACCTTGGAGAGGCACAGGAAATTCAAGGCCAGCCTGGGTTATGCATCGAAACCCTGTCTCCAATAACCCAAAAGAAATTAATTAATCCAGGTATAGTGGCACATGTCTATAGTCCTAGCAATAGGGTTGGCTCATGTATGAGGCTAGTTCATTTGAGCCCAGGGCAACTTAGAGAGGCCCTGTTCAGAAAGAAACAAAAATGGCCCATGGATGAAGCTCTGTGGAGGACCCTGGGTTCATTCACCAGTGCCAGAACTGTCTGGAAGGTGAAGAGGAAATACTGGAGTTTTCAGAATGGCCCAGGGCTCTGTACTGGGCTGTAGTGAGAAAGGCACAGGTGAACAGGAGGAAGGAAAAAGGGAGATACTTTACTGCTCCAAGGGGCCTCCTCAGCTGACCTCAGGGGAGAGAAAGCAAAATGTGATGTTTTTGGCAGGTGGTGGACAATCGGACAGGCTTTTTGTGCAAGCTGAACTGGTCACTCATGATGAAGGTGGCAATAAATGCAGGGTATGCAGCCCAAAAGACATCCCTGCAGTCCCTTGAGACTCATCAGTTAGCTCAAGTAGTCAGTGGCACTTCATTTGTAACAACTCACAGCTTATTCTCACATAGCAGTGCCCAGTGGGCAACGATCACGCAAACAGTGCTTCCTGGGTTAAGCAGTATGTACATAACATGTCCATGAGAGGAGGCTAACCCACTGAGCTGAGACTATTGGGCCCTGCTGCTAAATAAAGGTCCTCAAATCAATTCGTTTGTAGCAACTGCTAGGCCTCTTCAGAAAGCAGTCTGATGTTCAAATGAACGGTGTGGTATGGTACTTCACAAGAGCTTTTAGGTTGGTCAAATGCCTGGTCTGTGAATCCTGCGCATAGCTATGTGATGAAGGCAAAACTCCATTTTTTCATGGTAAGGAAAATATGATCAGTTGACATGAAATTCTCCATTAGATTGCGTACTTTCAATTTTGTATTTCTTAAAGTATTGTCAATGCTATTATGTCAATGTTTCAAAGAAATTATCGGTTATAGTATAATTAATTCCTTAATAGTTTTTTGAGCCACAGTCTTGCTATTTCATGCCACCTGGCCTAGCACTCATAGCACTCACCCTGTCTCAGCCTCCCAGGACTGCGATTACAGGTGAGTGCCAACATGCAAGGCTGTGAATATTAAATTGCATAAATGAAACCTAAAATTTGTTAAAGAGTGAAAGCATTTATTAAATATAGGCACGAATGGTATAAAATAAAATTTCATTAAGAAACACTTCACTAGCTTCAAAGTTAGCTAAATCATAAGAATACTCAAATTGACACTTGTGTTCATGATTAAACTCCTTTCATTTCTTTATTCAGTAAACAAACTGAGCTATTAGATGTCAACATTTATAATAAATACAGTTAGCTGTCTATGTGAGGTTTTCTGAGGGTGATTTAACATTTTGTTTTCAACCCACATAATAGGGACGTGTGATGTATAAGAATGTTTTGTTCAACACTGGACTGCATGCTCAACTATGGTCCTTGAAACGATATCGCCCAGTGATGTGGGAGATGTAAGTGTGTGTGGCCACCTGCTTACATTTGGATAATAATGAAAATAACAAACCACACATGCTTTGGATCATATTCTCAATGTAAGCAATGCATGAGTAAATATGCAATCAAAGAAATACTACAATGCCAATACAACAGCAATATAAAATTTTCATCAAAGATTAATTTACCTGATTCACTTTTGAAGCTTTGAATTCCATTTCAAGTGTTGCATAAGAAATTTCAAGCTGTTGTTTTGCTTCAACTTCTTGAGAACATTTTTCCTTGAGACTTTTTCTCTTGTCCTCTTCTTTTAAGACAAGTCTGAAGTGAAACCTGTGTATTTAAAATGTATTTTTAAAGTGGATCAACAAGCCAACCCCTTCCTCTGAGTCAGTGACAGTCACAGGCCAAGGGAAGTAGAAATATGAAGCCAATGGCTTCCTGTGAGCCAGCAGTTGGGCTGGGAGATAAGAGCTGAGCTCCTCCCAACCCCTGCAAGCAACCAGCTGATCACAGACATACAGGCTGGGATAATAGCTACTGAGGCAGGAAGAAAAACAACTTAAGCCTGTAGTGTTTAGCATTTCACTTTGCAGGCCTAGCCCAGTGCTCTGAGCATTTACTTGGTGGAAAATAATATGCAGTATAGCAGCTATGGGAGAGTTCCTTCTAAAGGCGAAAGCCACTGTTAATTCCCTATTATCTTGTTTTAAAGTTCTGTATCACTTTCAGGGTTTTGTTTGGCTTGTGTTAGTTTTATTCTGTTTTACTTTGTTTCATTTTATTCTGTTTATTGACAGCTATTTCAAAGATAACAAGACATACTATTGAAGCTGATGGTGATTTCTTATTATCTTGTTTTTGAAGTCTTCCATTGCTTTCATTGTTTTGTTTCGATTGGTTTCTGTTCTGTTTTGTTTCATTTTATAATGTCTGATGGTATGGCCGGCTATTTTGAAGACAACAAGAGGCATTATGGTAGCCATTGTTGATTTCTTATGGTCTGGTTTTAAAGTTGTGTATCACTTTCACTGTTTTGTTTTGATTGGTTTTATTTATTGTTTTATTCATGTCAAAATAGAAGAAAATATAACATGCATTTTTTAGAAAATATAAAGTTCTAGCTATGATCTGGCTGTATATGTTGATTTAGTATCCTAATGAAATGCTTTCAAATATTTTTCCTTCCTATCTGTCATATTTTATATCTTTCAATTTAATCTCTTCCAAAGGGCACACCTACTTGAAGAGTGTGTGTGTGTGTGTGTGTGTGTGTGAAACACAATTCTGAGAGGTAACATCTTATTTTATACATCACTAAGGTAGGTGAAGATATGCCAAGTAACTTGCACATGTGCAAGTACAGACAGTAAGAATTTAAACCCAGGAATGTTCCACAGTACAGTGGATCCCCTAAATGCACAGTACTGGTCCTAGAGCACTTGCAATTGCAAAAGACTGCAAATTTCAGATATGATCATAAAAATGCTTATCAATGCCCTTTTTATAGTTTAAACTCTATAAATATGCTATGACTTCTGGAATTACGTAATTTAATAAAATATTGTATTGATGAAACTTTAGTGTGGGGCATTTTGGCAGCAGCATTGGGATCTTAGGGTTTTTAAGAACACAACTGACAACAATGGAGACAGACACATGCAGTGCATCAACCTGTTACAATGCAGAGATGGGTTACAAGGCAGCAAGCACTCCAAAGCCAGAAGAACTGAGTAACGTGTGAATGCACTACTCGCAAACCTCCTGCCAGAAACTCCTTGTGGAGGATCCCTGTGGTTGCCATGAAACTGTGGGGGGCTCTGTGAAAAAATGTTAGGATCCAACTAAAAATCAGTGAAAGAGTGAGGCTGAGAACTCTGAACTGTGACATCGTGGGAGTATGCCTTATGTTATGAAATAACTACCTTTAAGCATTTAGTGTTAAGTGATGTTAAGACCACATTGACATTTCCCACAGCTTCAAACACTGATGGCACAGGCATGACTATCCTGCTGGGCAGCACTGAAAGGCATGCAAGTGTGGCTCCACTGTGATTGTGTTAATCCATATCAGCATCCATTGTCAGTTATAATCACATAATTTCTGAGTTTTACAAATATTCTTAAAAATTAAAATGAATAAACATATCTTTCTCTACTGATGGTTTCTAGTGGTGTATGCATACACTCTAAAATCTTAAGAAAACAACTCTTAAATGCTGCATTCTTGCTCAGAACACCTGCTTCCCTAACTTTCCCAGTGAAAGGTGTCTGAAGTGTTGTCCGATCGTCCCCAGTAGTCAGCTTCCTGTGTGACCAGTGTTGAAACTGCTCTTTGTCAAATTCATTTGTGCTTCTCTTAGCCAATCTCTCTGCAGCAATGATGAGGCTGGGTATCCTCTTGTTTTCCCTGTAGACTACACTGTTCTGTTTTATTTCTAGAAAAGCAATTCCTGCTAACATTCCATTAAAGGAAAATAAAACATTTACAGAGGTTTTAACTTCCTCCATCTTTGACAGTGTCTTGTAATCTTTAAATACACATCACTTGTTGGAGACTAGCAAACAGGAAATGGGCCTTGTTAGACACTAAGGAAGTCACAGATTCCGTGGAGTGCTGCTGTTTATGTTTATTCTTTACTTTCCTCAAAGGCACGTTGGGTCCACTGCTTTAAAAATAAAAAGTCATTTAAGCAACTCAATTCAAAAACAAGGTTACAACTCTAGAGTATGAAATTGTTCATTTTAAGCAGTAGATGAAAAATAATTTTTAAACAAAGCATTGGGTTGAAATTAGTCCAAGCCTATGAAAGGACTGACTGGAGTTGTGGCAACCCCGTGTTGATTCAGTCAACTGTCACTGGCTTCACCCACCAAACAACCAAGCATCCAACCAAACAACCACTTAATGCTAACACTTTGCTTCCTGCAAGGCACACTAATATAGCTACAGATGGAAAATCACTTTCCTTCTGAAGTTTGGCCAGTTTTTAAATTCTACTCTTTGCAAAATCATATACAATGGAACCTGGGCTCACAAACTCAATTGTCTCCACAATCCTGATGGCAAAACAAACTGGACAAGAACTAAATCAAATCTAAACCAATTAAGATCAACACTGAACCTACCCACAGAACAAAAAAATTTTAGAGACAGCATCTTACCATGAGGTACAGGCTGGCCTAGAACTCATTTATGTAGCCAAGACAAGTCTCAAACTCACAGCAACCCTCGTGTCTCAGCATCCCAAGTCAAACTTGCTGGATTGCAGGTGTGTGCCACCATGGTCAGCTCAACCACTAACTTTTATTTGGTTCTGACTCAACTCAGTTTGCAACCAGAATCACAGAAAAAAATCAAGATCAAGAACTGAGGTAGCACTCAGGCACCTGTGTTATAACAACACCATGCCCAACCAGCATAGCTCTCTCTTTCCAGAAGAAGCAACACAGTACATTCCAATTTTGTCTTTTAATTTCAGTTTAGAAAGTTTTAGTCCTTTGGCCATGATATTTTTTGAAGCCTATTAAATTTAATATCTTTGTGTTTTATTTTTCTTAATAAACTACAAATGAAGCCTGCAATTCTTTTAATCCACTGTACTGTAAGTGAAACTACCCTAAAAGAATGAAGAATCACAATATTCAAAATTTCTTCCTAAATGAAAAAAATATTAATGTAGAGTAAAAACTAAAACTTTCAGAATGAATTTTCTTCCTGAACCCTTTTTTCTAGTACAGGAGGTTGAATCAAGAGTGTCCTAACACTGAGCGCTACCCCCAGTCCCTTTCTATTTTGAGGCAAGGACCTGCTCAGCTTCTTAAGCAGGATTCGCTTTTGCAATCCTTCTGCCTCAGCTTCCTAAGTCAAACTTTTGTAAGTGACAAATTAGCCTACTGTTTAAAATAATACACAAGGAGTAAACTCTACTCACACTGAGTAAATTACTGACTAGCTACTCACTGTGTGCTACACCTTTTTGTATGCACTGGTGATATTGTAGTAAATACACACAAATTCTATGGACGACAGTAAAGTATACACTCCACAACAACAAATAAGACAGGAAAAACATAAAATATGTATGAGGAAGGGAAATAAAGTAACTTTAATTTATAAATTGAATTTTGTAAGTTTTCTATATTCACTGCTGAAAAATACAGTGGAGTGCATTATCTGTAAAAATGAGACAATGATGTACACGTGGGAAACTTTAAAAGACTGGCTTAGTACATTAGCAGCAAACTAGGGTTTAGCATTAAGGTTTAGTGAATCATTGTCAGTGGAGCAATTCCAGTCTATCATCTAACTTTAAAATAAATTCTTCTTTATTGGCAGTGCTGGAGACGAATCCCAAGGCCTCTTGTGAGTTAGGCAAGCGCTCTAATACAGAACTATCCCTCAGCTCTGTAGATCAATTTTGCTGAAATGTAGCCACAGACATTCATTTGTTGTCTACCTCAGATTCTAGATGACCACAAAAGAGATTTCATGCCATGAAGCCTAAAATATCTACTACTTGATCTTTGCAGAAAAAAGTTAATTCTTGATTTACTACTAAAAGACCCTTTGGTGACATTTTAAAGGATTTTTACCTAATATACTGAAAACTAATCAATCATGGATCCTCATGCAATCCTTTGGCAATATTCAGATGAACATGAAGGTCCAGATTATAGTACTTATATCCTGAGAAAAAGCAAAAGTCTAACAGCTACCAAATTTCTTGGTAATAAGATCTTCAGTGCAGCCTGCAACTTTCTTTGGCAACTTAGCACATATAACAAGTATTACAGCAAATTTGCTGAAGACGTATTATTAAACAATGCTTTAAAAATATTTTGTGAAATAATCACAATGAATATTATCTAAAGGCTCCATGCTATATTATTTTATGGATATAGCAATTCAATTATTTCCTTACTGCTAAGCATCTAGACTATCTCACACTTTATGAGAATGTTAATAGTTAATCCTTCAACATATGAATGTATATAGGTAACACATTTACATAATTATTACCAACCTGTTATACCAGCTTAATGCTCATATTATGTATATGAAGTATATACACTCACCAATTTTAGCCTAGAGGATATGTACATTAAATGTCTTTAATAGCTATGTACATGTGTGTGATCATGGATCTTGTATTCCTTTCCAAGGAGGATTCAGTTTCATAAGAGAAGGCATTAGATTAAAACAATGAAATCATTGAGATTTAATTAATGCTATTAAATTGTTCAAATGCACTTAATAATTTCACTTACTAACAGTACATAATGATGTCTGTTTCCTCAGACTGGCTAATTCATCCAAATGTTTAAAAAACATTTCTCAAGATAATTGGAAAAATGATATCTAAATTGTCTGTATTTTTCTGACAGTCATTCAAAGCTGAGTATCTCTAGTAAAAGCAAATAACTTCTTAATCACAAATACAGGCTCACGTTAGATTTTGCTGTACAGAACAGTAACTATTTATGGTCAAATATTTCCATAGTCTTACCTATCATGTTCTTCTTTCTTCTCAGTAGGCAACTGCTGGGTGTCAGTTTTTCCACTCTTTCTTTTTCCTTCAACCTTTAAAGAAAGTTTGATGTAAAGGAAAACTTACTTTTCACTCACTGACTTTATTAAATATTTTGTTCTTTATATCACTTGACTCAGTTCAGCTGTCATTATTTCAGTCCAGAAAGACATGTATTTTTTTCTGCAGCACTGGTGATTGAAGCCAGGACCTTCACCCTGAATTATATCCTCCACCCTTTATATTAAATTTTCTGACAGGACATCACTGGGATCATGTCACCAAGGCTGGAATCAAACATGTGATCTTCCTGCCTCAGCCTTCCAGGGTATTGGGAGTACAGGAATGTGCCACCACGCTGAGGCATAAACAATATTTTTGTGTCTACTTTATCATTACAGGTCAATGAAATTTTTGCACATTCTGCTCCATTTTTGTTTGAGTGAAAGAAACAGAACTTTCCAAATTTTGAAAAGCACTAGGTTTTATTTTCATTCACCTTGCTATCCAACATTTTCATCCCCTGTATTATTGGTAGAAATAAAAAGTCAAAGGCATAGTGGGTCTTTTGTTTAGAGAATGTGTTACTGTAGGGCTTTCTGGAACAAAAGACTCTTACAATTTCAGGATCAAGGTATTCTTTCCCTTGCCTTTCACAATTCTTTTTCCATTTGGATACTCTAACTGGGATTTCAAGACAGTTGTAGGTACTCACTGAAATATATACTTACGCCAACACAACAAACACAGGGAATCAGAAGTAATTCAGATTAAATGATTCCTGCAAAGCTTCTCAGTGGCATTTCCTGCACCTCATGACACCAATAGAGAATACAATTGTATAATGCAGGAACGGACAGATTACCAGGTGAACTCAAAAAAATCAAGCCAATAAATTACAAGTGTGATTATTCAGAAATAAAATTTAAGAGCAGTAATAATAAATATGTGGAAATAGGTGGTCATCTTGGAATTACATAGTCCATGAGTGATTTGAGTAAAAAGGTAAATTTGCACACATGACAGTAGAAAAATGGACTCATTTGACTAGGAAGATTCACAGCAAATCTCAAACATAGATAGACTTTTAAATCTCTTCTCACTCATTGCTTCTGTTGCATTTCAACTTCTTTTATGGTGTAAACATAGCAAATGCAATTTATCACTAAAGTAATAGACAAAACTTCAGATGTTAGTTTTTGCAAGCAACTTGCTCTGTGTTTATCTTGGTTCAGGTCACAAGGTAAGGGCACTAATACTGTCCCAGGTTACATGCAACTTGGGAGACTCAGAAAAACGCTGATGAAGGAACAAGGATCACAAGAATGGTTTCCCAAATTCCCACTATTTAGATAGTAGAAATGAACTCTTTCTGGACATATTTTCATATTTAGATAACCTCATTTTATATGTGAACTCTTCACAAGTGGAAACCAGAATGTAACTAGTAAAGAGCAAAACCGACTAGCACTGTGTAAACTACTCTTCTATGTTCTGCAAGTGCTCTGCCACTGAGCTATAAGCCAGGATGGCCTTTTTATTTCTAGAGGAGATAGGGTCTTACTAAGGTGCCCAGGATGGGATTGTAATGGGAGTCCTCTTGCTTCAGCCTAAGGAGCTGTGAATACAAGTGTGTATTCCATAACCATCCATGGTTACCACAAAATTTTGCAGGGGTGAGGAGGGTATAACCCTGGGATGTATCTGTTATATACATTTTCAATGCTGAGACAGGGTTTTTCTAAGCTGTTAAGATGCTCCCTTTGGGCTCAAACTTGCTATCTTCCTGCCTTGGCTTCCCAGAGTGCTGGGTAACAGGTTTGTGCCACCAAGCAAGGTTTACTTAAATGTGCCTTTCTACAAAGCCAAGAAATCTACTTGTAACATGCCTATTTCATGCTTAAATCTTTTCTATCCTGCAAAATCAGATGGAAACTGGCAAGAAAAAAACCTAGATTCAAAGTAACAACTTTGAAAACCTCTATTTAATAAATTGTCAGACTATAGAAAAAATAGATTTCTAGGCACATATGAATGACCAAAATGGAGCTAAGAAGATAGCCCAGTAAAAAGCAATGAAATGGTGGCAGTAAATGTAAACAACCAAGTAATTCAGAAATCACTTCTAAAGCCCAAAGAAGGGAGGAAATTATAAAGGTCAGAGCAGAAAATAATGCAATAGAGACTAAGTAAACAATATGAAGAATAAATGAATAACAAAGTTGGTTCTTTGAAAGAATAAATAAAATTGACAGGCCTCTAGCCAACCTTATTAAAAGTAAGGAAAAAACTCAAATTCATGTAATAAGGAATGAAAAAGATGAAATCACAACAGACCCTGTGAAAATACAGAAAATCTCTTTTGAAAACTTCTACTCTCATAGGCTTGATTACACAGAAGAAATGGAGAGATTCCTAGAAATACATGAATTACCAAAGCTGGGTCAATAAGATGTAAAATTTCTGAATAACACAATTTCAATTAATGAAATTGAAAATGTAATTAAATCCCTACCAACAAAGAAGACCCCAGGTCTAGACAGATTCACTGTGTAATTCTACAAGAAATTCAAAGAAGATTTAATGCTGACATTCCTCAAACTCTTTGATGAAATTGAAAGGGGAATAATTCTCCCTAACTCATTCCTGGAAGCAAACATTACTCTAATACCAAAACCTTATACCAAACACCCAACCAAGAAAGAGAATTATAGGCCAATCTCCCCAATGAACATAGATGCAAAAATTCTCAATAAAATTTAGGCAAACAGAATGCACCAAATCATCAAGATTATTATACACCATGACCAAGTGGGGTTCATCCCAGGAATGCATTCCAGGAATGCAAGGAACAATGTGTATGTTCAACATACACAAATCAATAAATTTAATCCACCATATCAATAGAGCCAAAAATAAGAACCACGTGATCATTCCTACACATACAAAAAAAACTTTGATAAGGTCCAACACTTATTCATCATAAAAAAAAAACCTTACAGAAAATGGGAATAGATGGTTTTTACCTCAATATGATAAAGGCTATCTATGACAAACCAACAGCCAGCATCATATTAAATGGCCAGAAAATGAAAGCCTCTACCTTAAAATTAGGCACAAGACAAGGATGTCCCTTACCACCACTCCTATTCAACACAGTACTGGAAATACTAGCCAGAGCAATTGGACAAGAGAGAGAAATAAAAGGAGTAAAGACAGGATAAGAGGAAGTTAAATTATCATTATTTGCAGGTGACATGATACTCTACACAGACGACCCCCAAACTCCATTGAAACACTCCTAGGTATAATAAATAAATTCAGTAAAGTAGATGGATACAAATTCAACACTCAAAAATCAATAGCATTCCTATACACTAACAACAAAACCACTGAGAGAAATAAGAGAAGCCATACCCTTTACAATATATATCAACAACAAAATGAAATACTTACGATCTAATCTGAAAAAAGAGACAAAAGATCTGTCCAGGGAAAACTATGATACCCTTAAAAAAGAAATTGAAGGGAATCTCAGAAAATTGAAAGACATCCCTTGTTCATGGATAGGAAGAACGAGCATTGTGAAAATGGCCATTCTCCCAAAAGTGTTATATAACTTTAATGTAATCCCAATCAAAATACCATTAGCATACCTCACAGGTCTAGAGAAATCACCCCTAAAATTCATCTGAAACCAGAAGAGACCCAGAATAGCAAAGGCAGTTCTAAGCAACAAAGGCAAGGCAGGAGGAACCACAATCCCTGACTTGAAGTTATAGTACAAAGCTACTGTAATAAAATCAGCATGGTATGGAATAAAAACAGATGTAAAGATCAATAGAATACATTAGAAGATACAATAACAAACACACTCAGCCACTTTTTCTTTGATAAGGGGGCCAAACATGTCCACTGGAAGAAAGATAGTTTCTTCAATGAATAGCGCTGGAAAAATTGGCTCTCCATAGGCCAAAAACTAAAACTAGAACCATGCCTGTCACAGTGTACTAAACTAACTAAATGCATGAAAGATCTAAAAATCTTAAGACAGAAACAGTAAGTTTGTTGGAAAACAAAGTAGGTAGAAATCTTGAATACATAGGGGTAGGTACAGAATTCATGAATAAGACTCAAACTGCATGTGAAATGCTTCACAGAATCAATAACTGGGGTCACGTCCTATTAAAGAATTTTTACATGTCAAAAAAATATCCAGCATAGCCAAAAGAAAACCCACAAATTGGAAAAAAATCTTAGTGAACGGTCCCTCAGACAAAGACCTTCTGTCTAGAATATATAAAGAATTTAAAAAATCAGATGCCCAAATTCAAAGACCCATTCCAAAAATGGGCATCTGAGATGAACACACACTTCTCAGATGAAGAAATACAAGTGGCAAATAAATACATGAAAGAATTCAGCATCATTGATCATTAGAGAAATGCACATTAAAACAACACTGAGGTTTCATCTCACTCCAGAAAGAATGGCCAGGATAAACAAAACTACCAACAACAAAAGCTGGAGAGGCTGAAGGGAAAAAGGAACACTTCTGCACTGTTGGTGGGGATGTGCAACCACTATGGAGGTCAATCTGGAGATTCCTCAAAAAGCTGGGATTGGACATCCCATTTGACCCAGCTATCCCACTTGTGGGCATATTCCCAGAAGAACTGAAATCATCATGCCACAGTGATACATGTGCAGCCATGTTTATAGGCACAATTTGAAATAGTCAGATCTTGGAAAAACTTAAATGCCCATCAACTGAGGAATGGATAAAAAAGATGTGATATTTTTATACAAAGGAGTACTACTATGCTATAAAAAATGATCACATTGAGATATTTATAAGTAAATGGATGCAACTTGAGACCACACTCACAAGTGAAATAAATCAAACTCACATAGGATTGGAACAATTGTGAATATTATTGAATAGTTATCTGAGGAACTCTTGAAGATCGTTACATAAAATAACAACCCTAGTTATGCTCCTACCACCTTGTTTTGAAGGCCTATATTTTCAGTGTTCTAGGCTCTTTCTATTGTTGTCTATATGTCTTTTTTGTTTCAGGTTTTTCTAGTAATTTGTTTTGTTTTGTCTTGTTTTGCTTTTCCCTCTAATACAGAAAGGACAGGTATACATGCAGAAACTCATGCATGTGTAGAACTTCTAAAAAGTTCATGAGAGTTGATAATATAATGCATGATGAGATGAACAGCTACTCTGAAGAAATAGACACTAAGGTTACCAGTGCTGATTCCATAGCATCATGATGTGAAATTCAGCAATACTATTATTCTTTGGTCAGAGTGATTTTAGCCTGTTTTGTTTTGTTTAATTTCAACATACATGAAAGTATGGACAGCTATTTTGAAGAGAGTAAGAGACGTTATGGCAGCCATTGTTGACTTCCCTATTGTCTGGTCTTAAAGACCTAAAATGCCTTCATCATCCTGTTCTGATCAGTTCTATACGATTATGTTTTGTATGCATTCATTGTATGTGGCGATATGGACAACTATTTGGAAGAAAACAAGAGAAAAAATGATAGACAGTGAAGATCTCCAGTTGTCTTGCTTTGCAATCTGTGTCTTTTATATTGTTATCTTATGATGTTTTGTTATGTTTAATTTTACCCTCTTTTTAAAAAATCAGCAAAATAGACCCCCCACAATAAAAGACTCAGTTTTAAAAAGGGCAACTGAAATGAGTCTACTTTTCAGAAGAAATACAAGTAGTCAATAAGTACATGAAAAATTGTTGAAAATCACTGATCATTAAAGCAATCCAAATTAAAAATTAACAGTAAGACTCCAGATTATTCCAGGAAGGATGGTTATCAAGAAATCAAAAACAGCAAATGCTGGAGAGGTTGTGGGAAAAAGAGACCATTTTACATGGTTGGTGGAATGTAAACTAGAATAACCACCATGGGAATCAGTATGGGGATCCCTCAAAAACTAAAATTAGAAATTCCACTTGTTCTAATTATTTTCTTTCCAGGCATCATCCCAAAAGAGTTAAAGAAAATATATTACAGTGATACATGGTTATATGGTTTTTGATCAATTTTTCTTATACTTTTTCACATAATGAGTTCCCAAGTGTAAAGATATATCCAATCTCTCAAAATCTATAATGGTTTCTGATTCTTAAGAGACTTTTTCCAAATGTAGAAGTGGAAGATTAGTTTCCTTGGTCTGATTCTCTGATGCCTTTTCTTCAGGGGAGCATATTTTTAACATAATATTCTTCTTAAGAAACCACAAAGTTTGGAAAAAGGGAAAGTAGAAAATTAAAATTTAGCCTGTCTCATTGATGACTTAATTTACATAGCTACTTCTTCCTCAGTGGACTGCAACAAAGTGGTTGAAAAATAATCTACCTTACCTTAAAACAAAGAGAAAAACATGAACCAACACCTTCACTTTATCTGTGTGTAGACTAAACTTATGTTCTAAATTTAAAAATATGTACTAAGTGATCTTTAATATTATAAATCTGTTCCCATATAAAGATATTTTATCTTACCATTTGTTATGGCTTGGGCCTACCTGTCCCCTCAAAGACCCATGCAGTCATAGAGCTTTTTCAAGGTCACTGAATCTAGTTTGTGGTACTGGAATTAAGGGTGTGCCTGCTACATCAATTCACTGATTGGTTTGGCATCACCCTAATCCTAGTAGTCTGGATAAGATAAAAAGTGAAGACCCTATTCAGGTCTTCTGCTGCATTTGATGTCTTCTGGCAACATGCATGTTTGCCCCTCTGCCATGCAGCCCTACCTTGGGCCCAACAGATTACTGACTGAAATCTCTACAAAACATGAGCTAAATAAACCTTTCTTCATTTTACTTTGGGTGCTGGGTATTTTGCCTTATCAATGAGAAACTTAACTAAAATGTCACCCTTTAAACAGCGAATCCTTCATTAAAAAGTCCTTTGTTCTAAAGCTTACTAACTGGAGTATAGGTAGACTTTAAATTACTGAGAGACAAGGTCACCAGTCAGAGTGATTCAAATTTATACCACAAAAGTGTTGCGCATCCATGTGAACTACGTTTGTTAAATCCACTTCTAATATATTCTAATGTTTACTACACAGAGTGGATGAAGTACTTACTGATTTCTTACATTGAAGTAAGAAATTATTGTTTGTACCCTAACACCAAAGTCTCAGTTGGGAAGGTATGAGTCTCTGCAGCTGGGTTGACTTTATGACCGTTCAATGTAGGCAATGGAATTAGCTAGAGACTAGAAAGTACAATTCAATTCTTTTTTTTTTTAATTTTATTTAAGGAGAAAAAAAAAGCAGAGAAAGGGCACAAGTTATACAGATTTATAGAAAAAAATGAACAGTAGGAAATCACTAGTTAATGGATTACATATTGTCATCTTAGAAATAATTGTTCAAGTGACAAAATTAAAGCTTGTAAAGTGGACATTCCATCAATGATACTGCAAACAGTTCTGTTCAATGATCCAATAAAACTCTGTGATATCATTTTCTATCTTATACACTTAAATATACATGCAGTTATATAGTTTAGAGCACTTTCTTTTCCTCTCTTTTGTACAATGACTATTACACATTTTGGGTTTCATTGCTCCCACGGTTCTTATTACTTTTTTGGAAGAGAGTAAAACCAAATGTGACATAGCAGAACAGAATCGGTCAAGTCAAAAGGGTGGACATAATAGATAATGTGAAAACATAATACAAGGTGATCAACAATGGTTACCATAATGCCTCCCGCTATCTCTAATAGAATTGCCTATATCGTTAGTTATAATACAATTGAACAAAACAGTAAAGAATAAAACCGACAAAACCAAAACATTGGAGACATTGGGGGTCTTCAAAAGTAGATAAAAGAGAATGGGCGTTATAATGAATCTCATTATCTTCACAGCTGATGCCTAAACTTTTGAACCTGACACTATCCAGCAAAACAGAATAGGGGAGCATCAGTTAAAAACCAGATGGTGAGAGTAATACAGGGCTTTAAATTGAGGTAATGGAAAGTCAAAGTGGGTTACTATAATATATCCTGCTATTTTTTTCCTTTAATTAAAAGGATAAAAATAAAAAAGTAAATAATGGAGTGGAGATTGAGATAAAAGAGGGCATAACAATGAAACAGCGCAGATCAAAACATAACCATTTAAGCAGAATAGTGTTTCACCACCAGATAATCCTGACCTAAAAGTAGTTACCATATTGTCTCTTTCCTTTCTAACAGGACTCAGGACTACATTGCTGAGGCTCTGGGAATGATCACCATTTGTTGTGCATCCAACAGTGGTCATCACTGTTCCACTGGCCCTAACATGAGCTGCTTAACAAAAGGGCTTGAACCTGGACTCCCTTTCTTCGTCATTTAAGAACATTGCACACATGGAAGCACTTTTGCCTTAAATCTAAAACTTAGACATAAGTTACTATAGATTCTAAGAATAACTTGTTTATAACTGGTTAAAAGTTTTTTCTTTTGGAGGGGGTCTCAGGAATCAAACTCAGGGGTATATGCAGGCTGGCATTTGTGTCACTGAGCCATGTCCTTGGCATGACTGAAATATTTTCAAAAGTAAATATTAAATCATAAACTACTGATTCTAAAATGTGAGTCAGAAAAGTCATTTCATTTGGCTTATACTATATTATTAAAGAAAACAAAACAATGTTAAACTAGGCATATAAATTTACATTTTTACTTACCTGGTCCTGGCTGTTTTCACTGTCATCACGTCTTCTCAAATCTTCCTTTAATGTCAGTTCTATGTTCAGTTCTTCTGAAAAATTTATATATTTATGTAAAATAAACTACTTAGAACAGATAAAAAGTGAGTTTTTATGAAATAGAAAAACTAATACAAATTTATTTTTATTTTCCAGTTAAGAATTAAATAATTGAATTAATCCTAATTTTTGGATATTTACATAGAAATACTTGTAATTATCCCCAAATTAACAAATTATTTGGAAAGATATTAGATATCACTATATTGAAGATATAGGGACCTCTTAGAGCTTCATCATGAATTTACTCCCTAAGCATAGATGGAAGTCAGAAATATTTCAAATACAACAGAAACATATAAATCCACTCTATGCATTATTCTCCCACACATCTTGGCTACTTTTAAACAGCTCAGCATGTTATTATTAAAGGTCTGTAAATTACTATTACCTTTACATGTTTATCAGTGAACACCCTTTTCTTTATGTCTGCAATGTCTTCATCCACTCTTCTGGCAACATTTTAAAAAATCTTTTAAGACTCAGTTTATAATGTGAATTATTTCTTGATTATGTTTACCTTCTCCACATAAAACAACTGCTTCTTTCTTTGGGGCTCCCTTTCATCAATGTTTCCACTGTATCTTTACCACACAAACAACAAACTTACTTCCTTATTAAACTTTTTGATCCTGTATTGCATGGGACAATCTTTTAAATCTTCTTTGTATACAAGTCTTCCTTCATCTTACTCAAAAACTATTTATGGAATTCTTGCTAAGTGCTAAGCACTGGGGTTTAGAGAGCATAAATAAAAGGTATTGGGAATGGCTTTTCTAGAGGTAATGATGAGCTTAGAATTAGAGTGAGGTTAGCCAGACACAAGGCAGGGAATTGTGGGAGTATGAAAGGTAGTAGCAAGAGAAAAAAATATTAAATGGGAATGATACTGATCTAAAAATAGAGGAATCACAATGGAAAATATCACTAGCTGTTTAGGAATGCCTGAGATCAATGAGGGCAGACAGATGAGAAGGCTGAACATACAGAAGTAGAAGTCAGATCATGCAAGCCTAAAGGTAACTTTGAGATGTTTGCGCATCAGTGCTTTGAACAGTGGCTCATGGTCACATCTGTTCCAGAGATCAATCACTCTCAATAGTCAGGAGGATGAATATGATGGCCAAGTGAATAAAGGGAGGGAGATGAATTCATAGAAGGAACCAGTGTCAAGTAAAGCTGATGCAGGCCTAAACCTCTTAAACAGTCCATAAATTCTATTTCCAGAAATATTCAGATATGAAATCATGAGTACCCGTTATAGAATGAATTTTTATTAAATAAATAAATGTATACAACTGCGTCCTTGGAGAACAACACTCTACTAATTATTTTTCAAAAGATATCATTTCACAAAAGAGTTGTGAAATGAACTACTTAGATTTCTTTAACTTGCTTGAGTCTACTCTGTAATTCTTACTTCACCTGTTGTGATGTGGAGGGAACACATTTAGTGTTTTGTGTAAAATGCCCTGCTTCTTGAGGTTACCACGTACATCAACACATAAGAGAAGGGCTGAAGGTGAATTTCAGAGGTAGAGTATGTGCTTAGCATGTGCAGGGATCTGAATTTATTTGAGATTAGTCTCCAGCGAAAAGGTTGGGGAGAGGAAGGCAAGGAGAGCAGGAGATGCAAAGAAGTCACATCTGTGGGGAAATAATTTTGGGTTTATAGCCTATACCCATTAATTTAGGAGATAACTAGTAGTCTATAAGATATGGTAAGGACATATACATTATGTTTCAAGATTTCTTATCAATGTAATCACATGATTAAGGGCACTAATTTAGCTGTTACATAAAGTAGAATACATATCAGGTGACACCAATGAATAGATTGTCCTACTAATTGAATTTAGTGATTTAATTTTTTAGAATGGTAAAGCAAAGAATGGAAGTTAATGTTTATTCACAGGAAAATGCAAGATATGAGATTCCACATAGTGCTAAGAAACCCTTCAGAGGATAACCTTCATATAATATTTACAGTTTGCAACTGTTCAAGTATAGTTTCATTGTAAAAAGTGCTACAAACACAAATCACATTTTAAAAAAGAGTTCTCAGTAGAGAAGCAGACAAACTTGTGCCAAACATAGGACACAAGAAAAATTGATGCGTCCCTCAGCTGCATGCGTAGAAGATAAAGGTACCAGGAGCCAAATCCTAAATCCGGAAAGTGCAGCCTTCAGAGGTAGTTTCTGGCACAACATTTTGATCTTGCTCTACATACTTCTCAATCAAGTTTAATGAGACCTTATTCACAGACTCATTCTCACGGTCTCGTAGACCTTCAAGCTTGCCAAACGCCCGTATTCTTTGATCATTACACTAAGCTGCTCAGTTTTGCCTAGATTCTAGCAGCCTGAAAAATATTTGAAATGGCATCCAGAAGAACAAAAATAATTTTCCTATCTTTTGCAGTTATCAATGGTTCTATTTTACTAGACTGCACAAAGTATAAACCTGGCCAACTGCCCCATGGTTCATGTAGTTGGTCACGGCCCACACAGCTTTCTTCTGAGTCATAAAGTCTGCCTTAGGACACTGACAAGGAAAGGGACTAATCCATGATGGACAACTTGCTGTATCTGGTCCTGTTGGCCAACTGTGATGTTTGACTCTGTCCATGTAGCTTCCTTTTGAAGATTAGTTTTGGGGTGAATGAGCAGGCTGGGAAAAGCAGCAGATGATCCTGCATCTCTCACAATCTGAGTCTCTTCTTTTCCAGTGACATTATTCCCTATGGCTAGTAGCACGGGAGGCAGAACGGACAATTCACTTGATCCTAGAAGTTTCAGCAGATGGTGCACAACTCCTGTTTTTACAACTACTTCAGTGTGTTCGTTTGGACCACTGGTAAGGTAAGAAATAAGATCACCGTCTACAGGAGATGAACCAAGAGAGAAAGAATTTGCTCAACAGTATCTAACAGCTATGCAGGATTCTCATTGCAGCAAAGGTATGAAAGTGTCCAGATAAGATTATGTAACCACCTTCTAATGATGACATACAAGGAACTTCAAGAAGAGCCAACAGTGGTTCAATTGTACCATGTTAGGTAACCAAGACTTGGAAAACTGAACCATCACCTGCAATATTTCAAGAGCACAGACAGACAGGTCACTGATGTGAGCATGGGGAAATGCCAAGACAGAAAAGAATGCTGAGGTAACACCTCCATCCAGAACATCCTTGGTCTGTCCTGATGACCCAGAAGTAATATTAGTGAGTTCCCATGCAGACTCAAACTGAGTGAGACGACAGTCAGTCCTGCCCAAGCAGGACACAAATTGTAGAATCAAACAGGCCCAGATTATGTGATCTATGGGAGGCTGTTTTCCTGAGAAAGCAGCTGCCTGGCAGCTTGAGTAGTGGGAGCTCACTTTCCAGATTATAGCTTTTCATATCTTTGTGCAGCTATAAACATAGGTGCACATATATCACTGTGGTATGATGCTTTCAGCTCTGGTAATATGCCTAGAAGTGGAATAGCTGGAACATATGGGACTTCCAATCCCAGCTTTCTGAGAAATCTCCACACTCACCTCCACAAAGGTTATACCAGTCTACACTTCCACCAACATACACAGAGCATCTTGATGGACCCTATCTCCTGATCTACTCTGCCTGTGTTTCTTTTTGTTAGTGAATCAAGGCCATCTATGTTAGAGATTATAGCCAACCTTCTCTGCCTCATTTCTGCTATGCTATTTTTCTGCTATTGGTTGTCTACTTTTCTCCTTCATTCCATTGTCTGCCCCATTCATTGAGGCCTCTCTGCCACTGTTCCTGAAATCCTGGGGTTTTTTTCTCCCCCTCTAGAATGTCCTTCAGTATTTTTTGTAGGTTTGGATTGATGATCACAAACTCTCCCAGTTCCTCTTTGTCATGGAAGCATCTTGTTTCTCCATTAATTTTGAGAGACAGTTTTGTAGGCAATATCAGTCTGGGTTGGAGATTATTTTCTTTCAAGGCTTGGAATAGTTCACTCCAAGCTATTTTTGATTTGATGGTTTGTGTCAAGAAGTCTGTCATGATTTTGACGGGTTTTCCTTTAGAGGTGATCGTTTCTTTTCTCTGACAGCTTTCAATGTTCGGTACTTGTGAGGAATTTCTGGGATCTTGATTATGATATGTCTGTGTGTAACTCTATTTTGGTTGTAGATTGCTGGAGTTCTGCATGCCTCATACATCTGAATATCATTTCCTTTTCCTATGCTTGGGAAGTTTTTCTTAATTATTTATTTGAATAGTCTGTATTTGCTTTGTGTTTACCCCTGCTTCTTCATTCACATTTTTTATTCTTTTTTTTAAATTTTTTAAAAATTTTATTTAGGGAGAAAAAAAAGCAGAGAAAGGGTACAAGTTATACAGATTTATAGAAAAAAATAAATAGTAGGAAATCACTAGTTAATAGATTACATATTGTCATCTTAGAAATAATTGTTCAAGTCACAAAATTAAAGCTTGTAAAGTGGACATTCCAACAGTGAGACTGCAAACAGTTCTGTTCAATGATCCAACAAAACTTAGTGATATCATTATCTATCTTATACCTTTAAATATACATGCAGTTATATCGTTTAGAGCACTTTCTTTTCCTCTCTTTTGTACAATGACAATTACACATTTTGGGTTTTGTTGCTCCCACAGTTCTTATTACTTTTTTTTGGAACGGAGTAGAACCAAATGTGACATAACAGAACAGAGTCAATCAAATCAAAAGGGTGGACATAATAGATAATGTAAAAGCATAATACAAGGTGATCGACAATGGTTACCATAATGTCTCCCACTATCTCTAGTAGAATTGCCTATATCATCAGTTATAATAAAATTGAACAAAACAGTAAAGAACAAAACCGACAGAACCAAAACATTGGAGACATTATAGGTGTTCAAAAGTAGATAATAATCAATGAGAATGGGTGTCATAATGAATCTCACTATCTTCACAGCTGTTGCCTAAACTTTCGAACCTGGTACTATCAA